CCTCCCCGAGCTTCCCCTGTGAGGATATCATGGGAGACAGAGTCGAAAGCCTTGCTGAAGTCAAGGTAGACAACATTCATGGCTCTCCCTTCATTTACCCAGCCAGTCACGCCATCATAGAAAGCTATCAGATTGGTCAGGCATGATTTCCCCTTGGTGAATCCATGCTGACTACTCCTGATAACGTTGTTTTCTTCCACTTGCTTCATGATGGCCTCCAGCATAAGCTGCTCCATCACCTTTCCTGGGATGGAGGTGAGGCTGACCGGCCTGTAGTTCCCTGGGTCCTCCTTCTTGCCCTTTTTGAAGACTGGAGTGACATTGGCCTTTCTCCAGTCCTCGGGCACCTCTCCTGTCCTCCAGGACTTCTCAAAGATGATGGAGAGTGGCTCAGCAATGACATCCGCCAGCTCCCTCAGCACTCGTGGGTGCATTCCATCGGGGTCCATGGATTTGTGGGCATCCATATTGCTTAAGCAATCCCTCACACAGTCCTCCTCGACCAAGGAAAAGTCATCCTCTCTGTAGGCTTTTTCTCTTACCTCTGGGGCCTGAGAATCCTGAGGGCCTGCCTTGGCACTGAAGACTGAAGCAAAGAAGGTATTCAGTAGCTCTGCCTTCTCTGCATCCTCCATCACCAGGACACCCACCTCATTCAGCAGCGGCCCCACATTGTCCCTAGCCTTCTGTTTGCTACTGAAGTAGTTGAAGAAGCCATTCTTGCTGTTTTTGACATCCCTTGCAAAATCACCAAATAAAATCTTAAATGGATTTTGCTTCAATATTTTGTCATAGGGATACCTTATTATTTACAGCTATATCTTTATTGCAGTACATTAGATTAAAAACTAAGATACTGTTATTTAAATTCTATTCAGCACGAGTCTTCAGATTCAACAAAATATTGATTTTTGAATGTGGGTATTTATTTATTTCAAGTTAAAAAATGAAGCAAAATTCAACCGAATCTCATTTAACACTGGCTTAAATGTCTAACGCATGTACAAGTCTATGGCAACAGAAGCTAACATGATGAACTCTAACAAGTAAATGTATGCTCTGCCTGGTGAAAAGAATTACTAAATTAATACAGATACGAAGCCATAGAAGAGCTGAGTTTTTTCCTGGAGAGTGACTCTTCTGTCATGTGTTATAGCCTGCACACTTAAAGTATTATAAAATATGTGCTGAGAGAATGCCTTAGGATCAACACATACATCTCTGTTTGTCCTATTACGTCATTTTAAATTTTAAAGTAATTCCTGGATGTTACTACGGTTTTCCATCATTTAAAATCTATGAGCCTGCTAAGTTCGTATTTAATATAAATTGGGGTGTTGGAAGCTATTCCTAGATGCAATTGTATGTAAATGGATGCATTGAACTTCAGAAACTATCAGTTAAAGTTCTAATAAAACTCACAAATCAAGATCACTTTGCATCTTTAAGAACTAGACTTACTGCTGCAACTGGTCTTGATTTTTGCATAGTTTTGTGCATAAAACCAGGGGAAAAAAGTTTATTCACCAGTAGTAGTTGACCATTCCAGTTTTTCAAGAATGCAGGAAAAGGGTATATTTATAAGACAGTAATTTTTAAGCCTTCATCTGAAAACTGTGTTGAACATTGTAGTCATAATTAAGTCCTAAAAATCAACATACTGACATTTAAATTTGTTACAAATAAATTGTGCACCAGTTTGAACCTTCAGAAATTACTAAAAACAGTCAGATATTAAAGCTTTACTTGTAAAAGTAGTAGATTTATTCACAATTATTTTACTATTTCCAAATAAATCTTTCATCTTGAGTATTTTGTAGATATGTTAAGTAATTAAAATTTATGGGGGAAAAAACCCAAAACAATATCTGATTGGCATCATTTTTCATTTCATACAAATGTAAATCAACTGCATTTATTACAACTTATTTGGGAAAGTAGATGTTAGATTGTTTAAACTCAGGAGTAGATGGATCATAAAAGAATATCACAATAACTAGCACAATTAAAATTTTTTTTAAGCATTAATTATACTTATATGAGACAGTGAAATTTTGGTCTTTTTTTTCCCCTCAAAAAGTCTTTATCATACATGTTTATAACTCTATGTCATTATTTATCTTTCTGGGAATAAATCGAAGAATTAGTAAGAAACCATAAACACATGTTCATGACCGAAACTTTAAAGATGTTCCATTTTTTTAAATAAATCACCTGAAGTGTTATGCCCATTAGCTCCCTAATGAGTTCAGTACGAAAGAAAATTCTTCAAAAAATGATGGACAAAATCTATTGTAGCATAATACATCAAATATCAGTTTCATAAAGACTGGTTTAAACTGTGGTGTTAGTGGTTGGCAGGATTGTAGTCTTGTTTCGACCTTAACAGTGAGGTAGTGCTATATCTCTCTGTTCGCGGTTTTCAATAAAAGGAGGGAAGTATGAAAACACAAAGGCGCACACACACATACAGAAAACCTACTCTTTAGAATATACTGAATAAAAATGGAAGCACTTAATGATGTCGTGATCTTGCTCACCTAAATCCATGCTATACTAATTTAGTTTTTCTTAAAATTAACATATAAATTTTCATATGATTATGTTCTAGATAAAATGAAATAATCTCATTATTTACAAGATTGAAATTACCTCTAAAATAGAATTGTGAAATTATATTCACAAAGTAAAGCAGCAGTCCTTTAAACTTCTCAAATTCATTACAACATTATTAACGACTTTGCATCAGTTTTTGATAAGCATTCACCATAACAGAGAGTGATAATGTTCAGAATATCATCAAAAAGTCTGAACCATTTTCAGTGTGCCATCTCATGTCAAGAGATAGTAGAGGGTATTTAAGGAGTCACCATTCAGCTGGTCTGGTAGGAGGAAAACTTAAATGAAAAAAACCTTGACAAGTAGGTGGTGCTCCATCCATCTGAAGCCTTTCACCTAGTCGGCATGTCAGAATCTCATTACCAACCAACGTAAAGCCTGGTTGACACTGGTATCTTATTATGTCTCCTGTTCGGAAAAACAAAACAAGACAAAATACAAACAAATAAAAGAAACATTAAACAGCAATTAACAAGGACTTTTAGCTTCAAACACATTATTGATCAATGAAGTTTGTTGCTGCCATCTATAACGGGCTAAACGACCTCTGGCATAAAACAACTTCGATTAGTCTAAGAAATGTGGTAAATTAGCATTATGTTGCAAGCTATGCTGTATCTACCACTGTTTACCACCACATTATTAGTTGGATAGTTTGTTAATTTATCTGGGTCTGACTGATGCTTTGTGAACCATGGGTCCACAAAGATTTAAGCAATATAATCTATTGGATAACAATTTTGAGACAAAGTAAAGGGATGAGATCCAGTCAGTAACTCATACAATCCTGAGGGGAAAAAAAATAAATAGGACCCAGATTTAGTTGATGATATCTAAATTTGGCATGGTAAGAATAACAACTTGTGATTTTTTTTTTTTTTTTTATTTAAGAAATTAAAAAAATGTATAATTTTATGTACCAAAAAGCAGTAAAAGTTTGTATATCCCACCAGTTCTCTTTGGTCCAGAATACAGAGCAGAAAGAAAAAAAAAAAGTCTATTCTCTTTGTTACCGATATAACTAATCAAACAATTGTATGTATCATACATAAATTTGTTTTTCTTTACCATAATGTGAGCGAAGCTAGCTTGTCAGACATCTGATGTCTGATCATATAAGTCATATTTCTTTGAATGTTAGGTGATGAAGTAATATTACTAATATGTCTTAGAAGGTCAGAATGTCATCTCCTTTTCAGATCCTCCTAATTTTTCAAATCTGATTTTACCCTTAAGGTCACAGAACCATATTCTGGTGCAGAATATACCATTGTCTACATGGTTTTTTGTGGGTTTTGTTTGTGTCAGTGGAAGACATTGTTGCATATCAAACATTATGAAAATTATAAATTGAAATGAAGTTCATTAGAAAGGAGTTACTGTGTTACTTATACATAATCTCTGAAACATAGACAATATTCAGGTAGTACAGGGAAGAAGAATGTCTTCTTAAAAACTGTATTTTCAAATATAAATCTAACGTATCACAGGCATGATTTGTATTCGAAAAGCAAGAAATTTTTGCGCATAGCAGGCTTTTTTTGAAACAAATATTGCTCTCATTTTCTCTTACATTACCTATTTCAAACTCGTCATCCTCAGTTAGAATTTCAGCATTTGGTATATTTGTTGGAGACTGGCAGACCCGGAGCTGATAGGCTATAAGCAGGAAGAAAGCACAGTTGACATTCCCATACTTAGGCATTTAACATAGCCATGCAAACATTACTGAGTTACTACCCATATTAACACAATAAAATTGAACATCTATTCATTTACTTTCCAATTTTTAAAAGAATCAAAAGAGAAGAAACATATGATTTTCAGAAGTAATGAAAAATCGTAAGTGGCATCTGTGTTCTTCATTAGTCATTTAACATCAGTGGCAAAATCCTCTTCACAAATAACCTAAGAAGCTTAGAAGTGGTTGTCAATTTTCTCACTTAAGTGATCTCATCTGAAAAACAAATACTTTTTGTATTGTGCAATGGTTGTTTTGTTTGTTTTATTTTTTTAACAATACATTTCTACTGCTGAACTCTTCCATCTTTGAAACTTTTTAATAATGACAAGTTTTAGAAATCAAAAGATTCTACCAAGAGGCAGCATAACTGATGGACAGAAGCATACTGAATATGAAATTTCCCAGTAAATAACTAGTTGTGGAGCACATCTTACCTGCAGAACGAGACAGAGAATAATTCTGCTTTCAAACTTCTTATTTGAAATCTAACATGCAATAGTTTTCTGAGTTTCAACACACGTATGCAACAGCCAGGCAAAATAATTAGGTGAAACAAATGATAAAAAAGACTTTTAAGAAGAGTAAGCAGAAGCTATATAGCTATATTTTTTTTACAGACGACCTATGAGAATGTGTGTTTGGATGCAGATGAAATTCCCTTCAATCTGAATGCAATTAGGACAGAAATCCAACCAAAGAAATCACACTGAAGTATTTATACTGACAGTGTAGTCTTCTGCATTTTTAAGTGTACACTCAGGTCCATCAATGAGACAAGTATCCCTGGTTTTCACTGACACTACATTTTCAAATAGCATTGTTTTACAGGAGCTCTCATTAGCAAGGAAACATCATTTACTTATGGCAGATGACGTTTCAGCTTCAGTTATACATCTTTGTTACTTCCTTGGATAACAGGATCCTGTGCTTGGGTCCTTTCATAATCAAATTGATCAAACTTTTGTCAATCAGAAAATTTATATTTTATCCAGGTAAGATTTTTTTTTGCTACTGAGTCACCTATGTTTGTCATCCTCCTATTCCACTCTTTTTTGTTGATCATATAACGAAAAAACAAATCAGTGAGTCAGAAAGCTAACATCCTACCTTAGGATAAAGTAATTAAAAATAAAACACACCAAGCAAACATGGAACAGCATGCATTAAAAAAAACAAAACACACCAACATAATTATAAAATGGTTTATAAACAATTCATACAATTCATATCAAATATCTCGCACATACGTTTTAAACCTCAAATTATCTATTTTAAACAAATTTGACTTCTCTCACTGCCTTGCCTTTATTGCTATAATTGTATCTAGCTGATATGAAGGATGACAGACTCAGGGATACTGAAAGAATTATCCTCACAATATCTAACCAAAAAGTGTTTAAGGTTTCTTCATGAATAATCCTTTGTGCTGCTCAGTTTGCATTTTTATTAGAACCTGTAATTGTGGCATGACAATGTCCACAATAACAAAAGAAAAGAGTATAAGGAGTTCAAGCTCTTTAGAGTCACTGTATTACTAGGTATGAGCATTTTTATATGTGTTTGGTCATATAGTGATGTATTGATATGTATCAATACACTTCCATTCATATAGTGATGAATACAAAGGGTCAGTCTGTTCTTCACAAACTGTTACATACAATTTAGATGCCCAGATTTGGAATGAAACTTCTGACCCTCCTCTGCTTAACCTTAGTGAGGTCTGTACTCCATAATCAATTCAAGTGCTGTTGTCGGGTTCTTTTGGTTGTGAGATTTAGGGCTTTTTCATTATGCTTTTTTTTGTTTAGATTAAAGCTCTTTAAATCCTCCCAGTTCTGTCTGTCTGTATTCACCTTGGTCTTTACTAAGTCAAAAAGAAAGCCTTCTAGATCCAAATTCTAGATCCAAAATCTGATCAGGATTCAGAAAACAGTCTGTAGTCTGTCAGTGTTTCCTGGAATAGTCAATCCAACAGGCATTCACAGAGCACCTAAAACCACCCTTGCTTCTGAATCTGTTTCCTTGTAATGACAGGAATGGAAGAGATACTTGGCCACAGAAGTTTTCAATGATTGCAAAAAGAGGTAAAATTTGGAGCGTTAAAATACTTACGCATTTTCATTCAGTCAGCATTTACTTCAAGAGCAGTTTAACATGAACTACACGGTATAGTTCACTATCATTGACATTTCTAGAACAACAGTACTTCCTTCAAAATATTCAAATACCTACAAGACTTTGAATGACCCCTACAAACATTTTGATTACAAAGGAATTTTAGAAGCATTGTAAGCAGTGAGAAGATGAGCACCTTGAACTGCAGAGTCATGATGCTACCTTCTTTGCTCATGTCTCTTCACAATGCATTCTTTTTTTAACTGACTACTAGTAAATTTAATATCTGGTCAAGAGAATATCTTGTTTTCATCATTCTTGTCAGTCTTTCATATGTTTGCCTTACTCAAATGGTGGGCAGTCATATTAACAATAACAACTCTTCTGTGCAATTTGTCACACTTACCATGGTAACTAAGTACAAAGAAGCCACTGGTAGTAAAGTCACTGTGGAACTTGATCAGAATCTGATTGGAAGTGCTGTAGACTGATTCTAATGCAGTGTTGCCACTAAATTGTCCAATTTGAGGAGAAGTTTGGTCTGGTCCATCCCTAAGAAAAGCAGATACAAAAAGATTTTTTTTTTTTCCAAATAAATAATTTAATTTCTCCAAATTTTAATATAATGAGGTAAAATTTCTCTGGATTACTCTAAAAGGCATGAGTCATCTAAAATCATATAAAACAGATATTAAAGGGCTGAAAGCCTACTGAAATTCTGTATATGGATTGGAGTATAGCAGATAGTAGCTTTGAGGACAATCAAAATTTGTTAGAGAGAGAGAATGTTCCATTCAACTGCTTTTGGATGTAATATTCATATTTTTAAACAAAAGTTAGAACAAGCTCAAAATTATTGAATTTGTGATCGTACTTCATCTTCCTGCCACTAACTCTGCTGACATTTTCTTGTCCATGTTTTCAAATGTGGCTATCAGAAAATAAATAAACTTAGTAATTCTCATCTCCCCCAGCCCTTTGAATTTAGTCATTTCTAGAAAAAATAAGACCTGAACAATATTTAATTTTTAAATGACAATGAGTGAATATTGCCTTCACTAAAAATTAAAACTAAATGCTTATATTCTGCTAATTACAAGATTCTAATTTAAATCTGCATGTGGGCATTTATAAATGCAGATCTGATTTATAATGACTATTTTAAGGATGCTACTTTTAGAAATTCTCTAATGTCAAAATTTTTTCCCCTATCTTCCCCCCCAATCATATGTTATAATGCTACAATTTATACTTTATAGTACATATGGACACATAAGAATTAATGTACAAATTTTTTTTATGACTAGTTTAGAGTTTTGTAGACCAATTTCTTGCTGAGAGAGATGTGCCATGCATTTTATATAAATAATTTGGCTCAGGTAAATGTTCATATGAATGCTGGTAGTTTTACAGAATCACAGAATCACTGAATATTCGGGTTTGGAAGGGACCTCTGTGGGTCATCTAGTCCAACACCCCTGGCAAAGAAGGGTCACCTAGAGCACGTTGCACAGGACCTCGTCTAGGCGGGTCTTGAATATCTCCAGAGAAGGAGACTCCACAACCTCCCTGGGCAGCCTGTTCCAGTGCTCCATCACTCTCAGAGTGAAGTTTTTCCTCATGTTCAGACGGAACTTCCTGTGCTTCAGTCTGTGCCAAACTAAGTATGACATGCACTTGACTCATTTCTTAAATCCTTGTTCACATACATTGATTGATATTATTTTGTGCTATTTATTATGATTTAGACAATACATATACTGCTGGTGAGATCACTGCTACCTTGTGGAAGAATGAAATACTCATTTCCATGGAAAAATTAAATCAAGGTCAGTACTAAATGATAGTAGAACTGTACAGAGGACAAAATCGTAATGCAAGGGCATTACATTTTTGTACTTACCTTATTCCAGATCGGAATTGATGAACAATAAAATTTTATATTTTCCAATTGTTATTAGCATAAGATACTTTAGCTGAAAATAATTTCAAAATAAAACTATAGATTATTTTTTTTTAAATTTAGTAATAATACATTTGCCCAAATTCTCTCACATTGCTGCTTCTCCTGTTCTATCAGGGAAATAATATGATTTAAAGAGGTATTTGAACTGTGAATAAAATGAGGGTTTTTTCCATTGGAAATGGCTATCAAAATTTCTGATGAGCTCTGTAGATAAATAATATCCCAGAAATGGCATAAGCTATTTAATCATATAGCTATCATGTATATATATATATACATATATATAAAATACAGCTTATACAGGTATATGAACCATACATATATAACACACATGATATATACATGAATAGTATTAATAGATGCTTAAAGTTCAGAACATTCTCCTAAATGGGTTGTTAATCTGAATAGGATACAAATATCTAAAAAAAAATCAGCAAAGAACACATAATGAAGTAAACCAGAGGTTTTACATTTATCATAATATATGCAATTTTACTGTAAGAACTAAGTTTGTAATACCTCCAGGACTATAGCTGAAAACACATGAAATCACATGGTAGAAAGGAAGAGCTGAATGGAAGAAGCACTTGAAGTGGACAGTAGTTTTCTAGTTTGTGTGGGATGAAGTAGAGAAAAGGTGTCCATATGCACATGAAAGTATAATTTAATTCAGGAAATATTCTGAAGGTCAGCTCAAATATGATACACAAAACAAGTGGTGAACTGTTAAAGGGATTCAAAATTCTCTGAGTTTTATCAGGGCAATAGTCTAGGTATATATTCTTATCAAATTCTGGTTATACTTTAAGGCAAAGAAATTAAGTATCTGGGATGCAGGGCAAGACAGTTTGTAGTAGACAAGATGCAAAAAAAAAAAAACCCTACAGAAATAAACACAAAAGTGTATAGAGAACTGTTTAATGTTTAGGAAAGTAAGAACGAAATCCTGAGTTATACGAATTCATATGAATCCATGATAGATTTCTGTGCAATGGAAACATAAAATGAATAACCAATATTCCAAATTGCATCTCATTATTTTGCACTACTCAGACTAAAAGACTACTCTCTCAAGCTGACGATTTTAAATCTGTAGATTCAATAATCAGCGGATTATTGTTTTAGGCAAGCTTCCAAAAGGTCTTAGCCCCTGTTAAATTGTCTAGGAGACTCACTAACAGTTTCAAGATTACTATAGGAGCTGTTACACTTCATTACAGCCTCCTGCCTTTATGAACTTTGAAACTAAGAAAAATGGGGGCTTCATTATATGAAAAGATTCATTATAGATATGGATTCAAGTATACACAGAATATAATTTGTTTACAGCTATCGTTACCTCAACTGTTTTTGTCATAGCCAAATACAAATAGAGTCCCTCCTTCTAAGTACTCGTAACAGTTTATAAGAAGCCAGCATGGAAGAAATGAAGAAAGTGTCACTGTAATTGCTTGTATTAACACTCTGAAACATTGCAATACACACAGCTGCAACTGCTTATTATCACTCTTGAGTATTACTTCTCTTGGTTGTTGATAAGCTGTCATAGCATACTTCTGAATGCTTTTCTTCATTGAGAAACTGAGGAACTATATTACTATTTTTGAATTCTTAAGACAAGGGTTTTGAAACTTCATGTCCAGTCCTATCTAGAGAAAATGGTACTTTGGAAAACATGGATGAGTGTAAATCACCCATTTCCCCAAGAGAGAACACCAGTGTCGAGGGAGAATTCTCAAATATACCCTTTTTAATTCATACTTTGTTAGATAGTGTCACATGAAGATTAAATCAATGCGAAAAGTGTTTTCTTACCAGACAGTTATGAAATCATATATTGGCTCTGTTTGGAGAACTGTGAAATTGATGTAGATTCCATTCCCAGGTGGTACTCTTACAAGCCAGAAGCAGTCTTGAAAGTTTGGATACTCATCAGGGTATCCTGGAGAGTATATGGTGCCATTCATTGCAGTTATATTTCCTCCACAGAGAGCTATAAAAAAGACATTTGCTTGTAAAAAAATATTAGATGCTTCTTACCTTCTTCTTAGACTATATAAAAGCCATACTCTTAAACACATTAGGTACACTATAACTAGATTATATAAAACTGTTGTTGTGTATAGAAAACAGATTTTACTGAGCTTTTCGCAGTCAGAAGCCTATTTTGACATTATTGGTCAAATCTAAATAAAATGAAAAATAATTCTAATGTCATAAATACTGTCAGAACTGGAACTAAAGTAATTTTTAGACATTGGTTTAAATTATTACCTGCAAAATAGAAAAACACTTTGTTACAGCTTAGTCTAAATGCCAGCTACAAATTAACAGCAAAACACATTAATTGCTTTCATTTATTGTCACAAGAAGGTAGCGAACCAAAATCATCAGGTGAGAGAAGAGATATGCTAAGTTGACAGAGGATGTGTGGGGGGAAACTAGAGGGGAATTTGAAAATAAAAATGTTGTGTGCAACAGTATGAATAACAATTTTGCATTTCTTCAGACAAATTCTGGCAGACAAAGTAAAAGACCTTTCTATAACTCTTGTGGAAGTGCACAAGTTTTAGACATCATACAGTGCAAGACTGATCATACAGCTTTTGGACTTTCATAACTATGCATTTCAGGAAAACTGAAAACTATATGATTTTCTCCACAGAGGTTTCAAATGCTTGTTGAGTATGACATCAACCTATTACTGCAGAAGGGAAATTATGTTACAGAAGCCTAGTTCTGGAAAAGTATGAAAAGCCTAAAATGGCAAAATTTTCTTTATTTTCTGTACATTCCTCCCACTGCACCCCAAACAGACATGGAATGGCAATTGAGATTCCCTAAAATACGCTTAAGAACCTCTAAGCAGAGAACAGGTCGTTGCAAATATAGGTTTGACATATAGGAGTCATGTATTGTTTGTATTTAGGTAAAGTATGTGTTATGGTTTATGTATATACTTCAGTGATGAACTGCAGGGTAAGGAGACTTTCACAGTCACATCTCATCCATCCAGACTCAACAGCTGGTATATCGCCTTTCTTCACCTTTTAGCTTCAAAGTCTCAAGGGCTTTTGAGCAGTGCAGACAGAACTGATTTTGCAGCAGGGTTTTAGAGGAGTGAAGACATGGGCTGATGACTGTCAGGCAATGAGATTTCTTGGAAAACAAGAGGGAATAGATTCCAAAAGAATGAAAGTGAGTGAGATATATTAAGAAGGGTCAGAGAGTGTTAGACAGTGCTAAGCAGTTAAAGGGATTTTAGGTGCATGATGATGTGAGGAAAAGAGAACGAAACAGGAAGCCCATTTAGTGATATTTGCTTCAGATCATCTGCTGCAAGAAGCCTGAGACATCATATAAACCTTAGTATATGCTGCCTTACCATACAGATATTAAATCAAATACAGATTTAAAACATACTGTATATTTCTGGCACTAGGTATACACAAAAAAGCCCACTTCATTGTAATGGTTTCGAACCCAAGGCCTTTATCTCAAATCAAACCAAGTACAAAGAGAAGATACATAATTACCTTTCTTCCCTCGAGAATAAAGAAAAAAAACCCTAAAACTGAAAAACATAAACAGCATATAAAAATGTCAAAAACTCTTTACTAAAAATACCAGAGTAAATATTTGCACAAAACCCCATATCATTTAAGAAATTTCTCTGGGAGCTGAGTAGTGTTGGCAATCTGTAATCATTCAAGCACAGGACACATGTTAGATCCCCATTATGAATTACGTTGATTTTTTATCTGCATCTTTTTATATCACATTAAGTAGAAATAAAGAAATTCCAGCTGCTCTTCAGGAACTTCATCAAAAGCTATAGACAGTACAGCAACATGATTTGAGCATCTTAGAATTTACTAATTAAATTCCTGGTTGCGGTAAGGTAATTAAAAGAAACAGAATCACTCCATTCAGCAAATTACTTGTCTGGATTCTGAGGCAAAGAAAAAGCACCTAGAACTAAGTGATAGTGAGCAGCTAAGCTGTTTAGCAGTAGACATGAACCATTACTATTCCCTCAGGATCCAGAAAATGGGAGTTGAAAACTAATTGTGATAAATTAACTTCTTCCCCTTTCAAAAGACATATAGTGTAGGTGTCATCTCTCTTTTATATGATAAGGCTTCTCCTTCTGAATTCAGGATCAGACAGGTCTTAATGTAGCTAGCACATACCCCAGAAATGCCTGTGGCTCACTGACTCCAGAAGGAATTCTGAGTAATGAGACTTCTAAGTTAAGTATCTAAATTTAGGTAGATGATTCAGAATACAATGCAAAAATCAACAAAACAGGGCAGCTTGTTATTTTCTTTTCTTTTCCTTTTTTTTTTTCTTTTTTTTCTCCAGGCATTCCTCTTCAGCATGGTTGGTATTGAGGATCCCATTCTTAATATTGAGCTTTTACCATACAATACAGAAGGAAGTTAGGCCTTTAACTCAGGTCCTGAATACCCCTCCTGAAACTGGAGGAGTATTTATGGTGTACGAAAGTAGGCAGTCAACACCTTGTACAGGTCTCATCTCTGTGGAAACCTACGTTTAGGCATCTAGAGACCTTTACAGTCAATAACTTAATTGCTGTGTTTGGATCTTATGGTCCTAGGACTGTAGGATTTTAGGATGACAGTATTGAATACAAAGTATTTTCACTGTGTCCATGTTTCTTCAGGAATCTAACACTGCTCTATGAATGTTGCCACATTTGTGACAAACCTGGAGCTTCCAGAAGAAAGTAATAGTGTGGTGCACAGATTTTTCTCAATGAGATTTCTGTGTTACTAAAACATCCAGCCTTGTCTGTTTCAGAGTCTGATGACAGTGCATGACTGACCTACTATGGCCTCCTGCTTAGATACAAGTTCCTCTCAGCACAGCTAGGGATAAGATAAACACCTTTATAGAATCATCATATACATTCATTCTGTCTCCTCAAAATTTCAGCTATGTGGAAGGCGCAGTTCCTTGAATCTGCTTACCTGTTGCAAGCATATCAGTGTGAAAAAATGTAAAAGGTTAAAATATGTAATTTTAAAAAAATGCCCATTCACAAAAAATATGAGTACAAAGGACTTCACACGGCACTGAATAGAGCACAACTGCACTTTATGTCACCTTTAATATTTCTTTCTAACTGATAAGACAGAACACAAGTGGCCAGAGTTGGGAAATTCACTTTTTGAATCTTTTTTTCTTGATTCAGTGCAGAGCTTTTACTCTGTAGCCCCACCTAGACTAAAAAGCAGCACAGGTCTCCACATTACAGACCTTCAGCCTAACCTTCCAGAAATAAACTTCTTATCTATATGTCATAGTTTAACCCAGCAGCCAGCAACTAAGCATTAGACAGAGGCTCGCTCACCCCTCTCCTTCCCCTCCCAGCAGGATGGAGAGGAGAAATAGATGAATGGTAAAACTCGTGGGATGAGGTAAAGACAGTAAGACAACACAGGAACTGCTACTACTAATACTACTACTACTACCACCAATATCTATGAATATGCAAAACAAAATAGACACAATACAATTTCCTTATCACCTGATGACTGATTTGCAGCCAGTCCCCGAGCAGCAGTTGCAGAACCCAGAGCTCATGGATCTGCATATTATGTGGAACCCCCCAAAAAGGACTATCTCCCAGAAAAGTTCTATCTCCCAGACAAGAGAGGCTTTGAACTCACAGAAAAGAGGATAAAAAAAAAAGAAGATTCCTGCCCCTGGCCAACCCCCATTTATAAACTGAGCATGATGTCCATGGTATGAAATATTTCACTTGGACAGCTTGGGCTACCTACCTGGCTATGCTTCCTCCCAGCTCTTGTACACCTGTTAGCTAAACACGAGAAACTGAAAAACATCCTTGATTTCTTAGCAACAACTAAAAACGTCAGTGTTATCAACACTCTTCTTGTACTAAATAAAAAACACAGCAGCTACTGGGAGGAAAATTAACTCTGTCCCAGCCAAAACCAGGACACTCAGACACATTTTCAGAGATTTCATGTTTCCATGAAACGTTTCAGCTTCTCTGCACAAATTTTCATGTGCAAAATTGAATACGTCCTCTGCAAAGACCACAATATAAAAATATGGGCCTCTGTAAAATGAAAAGCTGAAATGATTTCAGCTAACTGTCCATAGGAAGCCTTACAAATAATGAAGTGTTCATAGGTCACAAGAACATACCTTCACACCTCGGGAGAGGATGATTCCAGTTACGACTGATGCCATGAAGACAGGTCAGAGCTGAATTTCCAATTAATGTGTAGCCAGGAAAACACTCAAATGAAATAGTTTGTCCCACAGTAAAGTCATTCCCAATAACAAAACCATTACGAAATGGTCGAGGGTCAGGACAGCTTTGTAGCTGATATGCTGAAATAAATAAATAATAATAATGAGAAAAATATAAGTAAAATACAAATTCTTATTACTTAAAAAATAAAAGATTTTTATTAGAATAAAATTAAAAAATCATAGTCACGCCATACATCTTAAGTTCCATCATGGTAATAATCCAAATAATTGGTCCCACACTAGGAGAAAGACAGTCAAACATTCCCACAGCAATTTTGGAAATATGCATAGAATCTAATTTCCAATTCCAAACCTCATATGGAAAACATAATACTATAACCAAAGCTTAAATTGTCTTGTGGGAGACAGGGACAACAAATTGCTGCAGTAAGCAGAAAAGCAAGACCGAAGTGCTGAAGTAAACGTGATAAGCAAGAGAAAGGGGTCCCTGTTACAACAAACCGCAAGCGCATAGACAACGCGTGATCAGCAATCGCATTGGCTGGCTAGCGCGTGATGTGTCTGCAGACTGGCTCAAAACTGAGTGAAGAATTCGTGCAAATAGCTACCTTGTTAGGATGGAAAGTCCCTAGCTGACTAATGTCTGGGTAAAGATGTATAAAGCACTGCTTGCAAAATAAACTTTGTCTCACTTGCACTACAAGTTGAGTCCGTGCCGTAATATGCCACATTGTCTAATGTTCTTTATACTTCGGTAATATATGTGTTTGTGTGTGTGTATAAAGAAACAAACAAAAAAATACCCAACATTCTCCCCTACATTTTTTTGGAACAGAGTTCATAAAGGCAAAAATAAGACTAGACTCTGAATTTTATCTTTTAATTTTAATAAGTACAGGAATACTACACTACAAAAGAAAAGAGTAGAAAAGGATTTAGACTTTGTGTTTTCTCCACTTACATCTTCAAAAAGGTAGGCCACTAACTGGCTCTTTAGGACTACATATTGCTTCTAAGTGCACCTTTAATTGCACCCTGATCAAAATGGATCCAAGCTACTGACAAAGAAAATTAAAAATGTTTTAGAAGAGTACATAAACTAGAAACATACGAAAAAACTAACGGTACAGAAGACTGATGTGATGCCATGAGAGGGAGGAGGCTAACAGCCCATGCACCTCTAGAAAAAGTGCAGGAGAAAGACAAACAACAGAATTACAATAAATAAGAAAAGCAAATCAGGTAGCCTACACTGTATGTTGAGTGATGTTCACTGTATCAAGGAACAGAACAAGGGCCAAACTAAGAAGCCTTTTCACACCAAAATAGGAGCCTAAAACACAAGAGGTGGGATCTAGAATGCTTGAACCAGCCAAGTGCTCTGATGTGAAAGGCATGGCATAGAGCAGCATGATGCAGTGTTGCCAGGTGACCACCTTTCCAAGACTGAGAGGGCAAAGACTTCCAGGTGGAAGAGCAGCACTATCATTTAGAAATTATATTAAATGCCATAGTTGAAAAATATTACAAAAAAAAAAAAAGAAACACTACAGTATACTAATAGATGGAAATTAAAACTCCAGAAATCTGTGTAGCACTGAGCTACTTCTACAAACGTCTAGACAGGAAAATTACAGTGAACAGGAAATCTTAAGTAAAATTAGAGAAGCTTCAAAAATACAACAAGTAGTAGTACTGGACTAACCAATATTCACCTCACCAGGGTGACTTCAAGAAATAAAAATTTGAATTCAGGAAATAATTATTCTGTAGAACAAGCAATCTGAGCACCCACAAAAAAAAAGATGTAATTTTATATTTCAACCAGCTTGGTACTCAAGCCTTAGTTTAACAGATATTCATGGGAAACCTGCTCCATAAGAGCAGTCATAATACAGTTTGATTGTGTTGGGAGAGAACAACTCAAATAAACCCAGCACAGGGATATTAAATTATCTGGAAAGGAAATCATACAAAAATAAAGTAATGTAGATTGGAATCTGCTAATTGGCACTACTTTAAAAGACAAGGTAAAACATGTTTTACAATTCAGAATAAAAAAACCACTGAAGTGGTTCAGAAAAATGTCTATGTGACTCATATTAGGAAAGTTAAAGATGCTGCAACAGGGAAAATGTTGGCATTTAAATAATGAAAATCTGCCTTTCCAAAAAGTCATAAAACATAACAGGTTAAATTTAAATAGAAAATAAACACCAAAAATAATTTCAAAAAATATCTTGCAGAAAATGTCTCAGTTGATCACAAAAAAAAAAAAATTGACAATATCAGAAGCAAGAATTCAGCTAGCAAGGTGGTGGGATCGTTTGACGACAAACGAGAGAAAAGGGACTCCTATGGATTAGGATGCCATAGAGAGAAAGACTCAGTAAATTCTTTGTATCTGTTTTTACTGCTGAAGACTGTGTAGAGATTTGCAGACAAATTATGGTGCTTGTATTACACAGGTCTAAGTCACTAGATAAATTTGATGTAAATACAAAACTACTACATTAAATAGATAAGGCAAAGGACCAGGAGCAGATGGATTTCACCCAGAAGAGCTACTGAAAGAAGATGTGTATCATATCATTTCAAGATCTGATCTAGGGAAGTGGTGATTTCTCAGGGTAAATCACATCTATCTTTAGAGAAGATCTTTGAAATGACAGATCAGTGAGTCTGACTTCTATACCTGGCAATACGATACAGTCTATGATAATAAACATTACTGAGTGCATGGCTAAACATGGTTTCTTGGGAAAGAGACTGGGGGTGATACGACTGAAGTGCACAAAAATCGTGAAGACAGTGGAAAGGCTGATCTCGAAACTGCCATCAAATCCCACAGTAATGGAGTCTGACAACAACTGTGGACACCAGGAGAGTACAAAAGAAACTGGCTAGGTTTCTGTGCTGCTGAGTAGCATTTCTTTTTGTCACTTGGAGATACCATAGTGAGTAAGATGCAGCTTTTTTCTGATCCAATAGGTTTTCATTTTTTACATTCTTATGTTTAAGGAAGAGGAGAAATAAACTTGTCTATAATTGTCTTGTTTTTCTTGGAAGAATTAAAAGGCTCTACAATGAACTGTGAGTATCAAAGATTTTAAAGCAAACAAGTAAGATTTGAAAATAAGCCTCTCACATCTTGGTGATATTTTACAAGAAGATTTAAAGCATTAGCTTGTAATTACAGATCTGAGAACGAACACGCTGTGCAAAATTAGTAGGCATGGTGGTCATGGTCTGACGGTTGGACTTGATGATCTTAGATGTCTTTTCCAACTTTAAGGATTCTATGGTTCTATGAAAATCAGAAGATCACAGAATGTACGTTTGAAAAAAACAGTTCTCTCTTATGTGTTTAAAAACACAGGAGGTTTTTTTTAATTCTTTGACAAATAACAGCATTTCCAAAATCATTACTGTTATTATTAACAGCAGTAATAATGTACGCTCTCAACAGTAGATTTTAAAGCTGCCTTACTCGTACAAATTGTATCATATTCCAAACAAGAATTGAATAAAATCTTACCAGGCAATTTAAGTCATAAACTAACTTTTTCTTTAAAGGCTAACACTTTTTACAGTGGCTCACTTCCATAATGTTACACAGAGTTCAAGTCAATTTGGACTTGTTACTATAGAAAGAGTAACAGGAGACTGCTATAAAGTAGAAGCTCTTAAAATCATTCTTTGATATTATTCATACAATGAAAACAGGTATCATTTAAAATATACATTTGACCTTTTTCTGTGAACAGTGGTGACCTTTTAAATGAATCTGCAATATATAAATAGAATTATGATCTTGCAGTCTTCACCAGCTCTGCATGACCTATGTGTGTATGACAGAAAAAGAACCTTCCAGTGATATTTCCAATTAGGAAATAAAATGGATTTGGAGATTTCTGAGTTGGCATTGTTCTGTACTAGCTTACATGAACCCAATACTCTCAAACAATATTTGGATCTTCCCCTTCCAGAACCCAAGACACAAAATTGAGATTCCCATAGACAGAACAATGGACATGCTTATTTTGTAAAGCCATGCAATGTAAATTAATATGCCAGTCAAATTCAGACATGGGTAATTATCTGTTTGCGTACATTTGAACTGATTATTTAAAGAGAATGTGCAATTATTTTTCCTTTTTCATCTTAATTTTCTATATTCTTCTGTTTGTTCTCAACGCATAACACTTTGGTTTGAAATACACAAAATCCTTTATTTCATGTTTATCTTTTAGAAATGCCGAAAAAAGCAATAACCTTCAACAGCCACCTTTTCTCACATAAGAATGTCAAAATCTCACCTTGATACAAAATATGAAATCCTTGTTTGTTCTGTGAGTAATCACTGTGAAAGTATAAGCTGGTTTCATGAGTTGTGCTGAACAGAGAGGCTGGCAGCTGCGGGCCACTTAGTCTCCCAATAACAGTGCTAGTTTCTGTAGATCCACTCCTAACTTCTAAGTAATCGTGAATGGTCTCTGTCGAGAAATTAACAAATTGCAAATGGACACCTGAAAAATATCAACAGTAAATAAAAGCCATCAGTATCAAAACCAGGAGGGAAAACAAAGTGTGTACATTTTACACCTATAATATCAGAAAATAATGTAACCAGTGGCAATGTGTTTGTTACACTCCCAGATGCAGTCCATGGAACTCAGTATGAAGCATTCTTTCTCCTCATGCATTGCTAATTCTGAAAGGCTGGTAAGGTAAGAAATGCTAGCGCTGAGATATTAACATGATCTAAGGCACTGAACTGTAGGTTATTTACATACTGCTTTTTGGCAGTTTGTTGTTTGTGCATTTTTGGCAAATTTCAGTTCTGGACTTTGAATACCTTAAATTTAGTTAAATCTTTCCTGTTTTCAACTGCATAAAATAGTCTCCAGATCTATTAAAAGAAAAAAAATCATGTGTGCCACACCTGGAAAAAAACAATGACACAGTTCTATCCCAGAGATAGCTGCATATTGGTTGTACACTAACTGATCTGTCTCAGCTTACATATATTAAATATATATATATAAATGAGGCACAGTAAAAATTATGCATATAATATGGATTATATATATTGTAAAGGTAAGTGGAAGGAGAGTGTCTGCTCCTTTAAGGGTATCTGGTCAAGGAAATTGATCAATGAAGCAAGGGAAAATAAGGAAAGGGGGAAGCCATAAACTAGAACATACAGGTACACAGACTTGAGGGAGGCAGAACTGATCAATCACACCAACAGATGAGGTCAAGTGAGAGTGTAAGAATGTCTGTTACAGCAAGGTTATCTAATCAGGGACTTTATCAATTGGGAAACCAACAGAAAAGGGGGAAACCAGAAACCAAAATATACAAAGACACAGACTTGACAAAGCGAACATGGAACCAACGACAAGCCACAAACCTTGCCAGTCACAATAATTGATGGTCTGTCAAGAAACTACAGACACAAATTCCAGAAAGATCAGCCTGGACTTTGCAACTGGTAAGACAGTAAACCAGGAGGACCCCATAGAGGGAGGGGTGTAGGAATTGGTAGACCTATCCAAACCACTGAGGGGACACACAAGGGAAAGGGGAGTAGGCAGAAACAAAGAGGGGGGTAGGCAGAAAAGGGAGTAAAAGAGGCTCGTTGTGTGTAGAATCGGGCTGGTCAGTATATTTGTCTGGTTGAGCCCTGCACCTGATCACCAGTCTGTCCTATCATCTCCTATCTTTTCTCAACTATCTCTCTGTGGAGGTGGCTGGAGCGGGACTGTGTGTCACAGCCTCTGTGCCTGGTGCTGGCTGCTGAGAGGACAAATATCTATATCTTCTCCAGTTCTGCTGTAGGGGGGGTGGGGATGTGTCATCTGCTAACAAACTTCAGACTGGTCTAGCTGGTGATTAGGAAGGCTTTGGGTCCAGCCCAGGATACCAGGCAGACAGAGGGTCCATGCTGGAAAAGATGAATGAGGAGTGTATGAGGGACAAGTGTGTGAGTGTTGCGCATCCGCAATGACCATCAAGCTGGACCAGCCAGTGGATATGGGACCTGTGAAGTAGGTAAGGGGACCTGACAAGCAGACAGGAGTGCCAGGTGGACACTCAAGGGATTCTCAAAAGTGTGCATACTGTGAACCTAAAGAGTGTTCTGTGTGCGCCTGCACTAGTGGCCTTCTGTCTTTGCCAACCCAAGAGGAGAAGCGGCCTTGGCTGCCTGTGCTTGTATTCTATGTGAATCCTTTATGTAGGTGCTGTTGAATGGACCACCTTCTCTGTGGCAGTCTGTGTGACTGGTCATGTCATTGTCCTCTGTGTGTGTGTCTGTGCCCAGCTTTGTTGGTGTTTGAATCTGCAGATAGGAAAGTGACAGACATGTCCCTTGACCTGGGCAGAAACCTTGCATCCCTGGGCATCAGGCTGGGCTCCAGAAGCTGGACAGCAGAGTCCTTGACAAGCATCACTGCAGGAGGTGGCTGCTCCCCTTACATCACTTAACATATATATTATTTTTGACTAACAAAAAATGTAAAAGTTACTATCTAACCATCATTCACCAGTACCTCTTCCATTAAAGAAGCAGTTCAATTATGTATTTCTCACACCCTGTGGCATATGATGATCTTGCTGACATAAATTTCTGATTACTTGAATCAGTAAGGAACACGAAGGTAGCTTAATATCCATTAGCAAGTTATCTCTCACAACCAGGCGATGTATTACAACAATCGTGTGGCAGGAGGAGAAATGTTCAGCAGCAGAGTAATTATAGGGGTCTTTAAACCTTTCCCTATTTATACATATTTCTATACAAGTTACAACAAAATAGAATTTGAATTTTATCTGGAGTTATTGCAACTATGGAATAGTAATGGAGTACTTTCATTAAGAAGATGACTGAGTCCCACTGGTGTTTCTGGCAAAGACAACCAGCATGATTTCATATAAAATTGAAAGGAGAAGATATAATGTCAGATTAATTATTGAAGAGTCATAAATAATTTTACAACTCTTAAACAGTAATAGCTAAATGGTGTTTGTCACTGTCTTTTAGAGCTTTCTCCCTAGATACCTTGTAAAGTTTATGAGTGGTTTTCTGAAGCAGGTAATGTTTTACTTGCTACAGGAAAAAAGGTTGGCGGATAATTAAATTACTGTTACCTTGATCATTCCTGTCCCTCTTTATATGAAGAGTCTATATCTGCTAAGCAAGCTTCTGCTTATAAGTGTCTTTCTTTGACTTAGCCAGACTTCCAAATATTTCCTACACAGAGAATGTAGTTATATCCAAACATCCCTCTTTCTCTATCCATATTTGTAGGGTGGGCCTTGTATTTGATCCTGTGAACCAAACACTTGTCCAAAGGTTAAGCTGTCATTAATAACTTGCAGCTCATGCTAACTTACTGTCAATTTTTTTCTCTTTCATCCACTTTGTTTGATACAAAACCAGCTCCAATATATTCTTGCCCATCATTTCACTCTCTGCATGCTAAGGTCTTTCACTACGAGTCTTGAACCACATCAAACTTCCAAATTATTCATCCTTTGCTCAGGCTGTAGCACCTGCCTCTGTCTCAGATTTCTGCTTGGTAGACTGTTTTTTTCTATGGCTTTTTGCAGTTTAGATACCTCTCCTGAATGATTATTTCATATATTTATATATAAAATCTAACCATAAATGTCAGAAAAGAATAGCAACAAATCATATAAAATAACTTTTAAAGTTGATTGTAAATCAACGTAGTGTCATTGGTTTACATTAGATCGTTAGCTAACAAAGTGGAAAAGCTTATGATATGTAACTTCTAACTGGCAAATAATCTTGTTAGAAACAGTTAAAGAAGTGAAAGCCTACAGAAGGTTCCCATCACGGTGTTTTTGAGTTTTTCTATTTACTTCTCAGAAGAGTTTGTTGTGTGTGCCTCCACTGGACTAGAACCACAGCATCACTAATACCAGTCTTAGCCATCAGTTTTTCAAATATCATTTTTCATTGTTACAATGAAATTTAAGTTTAATTTTCAACTCAGCTTTTAACATAACTGTTTAGAAATGGTCAAAAATGTCAAGCACTTTTCCTTCTGTGAAGTTTTAGTTTTCTTCTAGAAAAAGGAGCATGAACAGCAAAACTAGCAGGGATCTGCATGGGATCTGAAGATTCTAGACAGCATTACAACTCATGATGAAATACTAGAAGCTGTCATATCGAGCTGTCTAAAATTCAGGTAATGGCAGAATTAAAGTGTCGACTCTATTTCTATAAAATGCTAATAAAATAATCAATTATTGACTTGAATCTTGCTACTTCTGAACAAAATGCAAACAAAGCAGTTAGGTTCTATACGAAAATCCCTATCCTGACATAATGTATTTTCCACAGATAGATTCTGTTAAGTCAATATTACTGAATGTTTTGTTTGAACATTTGACTTTCATTTAAATCATAAGTGAAACAGGCTCACAGGACCTATGATCAAAAAGATCACAGAAGTGATTTTAAAAAGAGAAGAAAAAGAATCTGAACAGATGCAGAAGGGAAAACTATTTGGGATGTCACATTCACTTACTGTGGAAGACCCATAAATTTTGTATCATCAACTAGATTAGATGACAGGAGATGGCAGATATTAAATAGAAAACTGTGAGGCATGTCTGAGTAAACAGCATGCCATTCAACTAGCATATAAAGAAAAAAATCCAAGTTCATGTGCTCCTACAAAAGCATCACAAGCATAAAAAATTAGATGGGACAACTATATTGGCCAGCTTTGAATGAAGATTTTGCAATAATAGATATACAGGATCCACCTAATGTTGCTCAAGGGATTAGCCAACGTAACTGAAATGCTGATATTACGTATGCAAAATAGTGGGGAATAAGAGAAGTTCTGGTGACCAGAAAAAATATGAAGATACACCCAGCTTTAAGACAAGAAAGAGGACCTGGGCAATGGCAACTGCAGGTTCACTGCAGTCAAAGGAAAGATTATGGAACTTGTCTAATTGGAGGCAATTTCTAAATACATAAAAGACAAAAAGGGAAAAGTTAACATGGGTTTACTAAATCACAGCTGATTGACCATGATTTCCTTCTATGATTAAATTGATAAAGGGAGAAGAGTAGAAATAATATATTCAATTCTGCTATGACTTTTGACTCAGTCTTGTATAGCATTCTCATCTGGAAGCTGAACATGTATGAACTTGATAAATGGAGAAGAAGCAGGTTAAAGATTAGTGGAGCTTCAAGGCTCCAAGGGTGATAATCAGTCACTCAATCTCTGGTTGGTTGCCAGTAACAAGTACAATATTCCATGGGTTGATATGCGAGCTTACACTATTCAAAGTCTTCATGAGAGACCTGGATAATGAGAATGTACCCTCCACAAATTTGTAGAGGATACTAAACTAGGAAGCGTGGATGATATACCAAATGGCACAACTTCTGTCCAGAGAAACACTGAAAAACATGAGGGCTGAATAAACAAACCCTTCTTGATGATGTGCACAAAGAGAAGTGTAAAGTTCTGCATCTAGAGCACAAGACACTTCTGTGTTGGTACCGGCTGGGAATTGATTAGGTGAGTAGGAGCCCTGCTGAGAAGGATCTGCCAGTAGTAGTGGACTCGATCTAGTGTTACTGATAATTTCACTTTGAGTAAAACGCTTGACAACTTTGAGTGGGAGCCTTCTAGAGATCCCTTCCAAGAACATTTCTATGCTGCTGCAATATTCATCTAGGACATGCAAAGAAGCTTAATAATAAAATAATGAACTCAAATGTAGCTTTAACTTCTCCTAAACTGATACTGACTTCGTGCAACATATTTGTAATCACTATTTTTTTGGGGGGGGTTTATGACATCACAAAGGGGAACTAAGTCTGTTAAGTAAGAAAATTTTAATTAAATAATTTTGTCTTTATCAGGAAATTTGCAGAGAGATCTGGACAGACTGGATTGATGGGCCGAGGCCAACTGTATGAGGTTCAACAAGGCCAAATGCCAGGTCCCGCACTGTTCCTGCATGACAACCCCATGCAACGCTACAGGCTTGGGGAAGACTGGCTGGAAAGATGCCTGGAGGAAAAGGACTTGGAGGTGTTGGTCGACAGCTGGCTGAGCATGAGCCAGCAGTGTGCCCAGGTGGCCAAGAAGACCAACAGCATCCTGACTTCCATCAGGAACAGTGTGGCCAGCAGGAGTAGGGAGGTGATCGTGCCCCTATACTCGGCACTGCTGAGCCTGCACCTGGAGTACTGTGTTTGATTTTGGGCCCCTCACTACAAGAACGACATTGAGGAGTTGGAGCATGTCCAAAGAAGGGCAACAAGGCTGGCGAGGGGTCTACAGAACAAGTCTCATGAGGAGTGGCTGAGGAAGTTGGGGCTGTTTAGTCTGGAGAAGAGGAGGCTGAGGAAGAACCTTAATCCTCTCTACAGCTACCTGAAAGGAGGTTGTAGTGAGGCAGGTGTTGGTCTCTTCTTCCAAGTAACTAGCGATAGTATGAGAGTCAATGGCCTGAAGCTGCATCAGGGGAGGTTTAGATTAGACATTAGGAAAAATTTCTTTACTGAAAGAGTGGTCAGGCATTGGAATAGGCTGCCCAGGGAGGTGGTTGAGTCCCCATCCCTGAAGGTGTTTCAAAAAACTTGTAGATGTGGCACTTTGAGATATGGTTTAGTAGGCTTGGTGGTGTTGGGTAGATGGTTGGACTTGGTGATCTTCAAGGTCTTTTCCAACCTGTGATTCTATGATTCTGTGAAATTGTAATACATGTTAAATGAAAAATCAAGAATCTTGTAACTTTTCTAGTCTAGCTTTCTTTTAAGGTTTTGATAAATTCTTTAAATGAATTATAATTCCTTTTTTTCATTCTTTTTTTTTTTTTCCCCAGGATAAATATTCACAATATTTTAAATCTATGTTCAGTGTTTTGGATCCATAAAAAACCCAACTAGTTTAATCCATGAAAGAACACATACCAAAACCAATGGGCAGCTTTATTGTCCATGTGCAATCCAAACTGCTAGGATAGTTGCCAGGAAACCCAGGGCTGAGGATCACTCCACTGAAGTCTGACGTGCCACCACCACATTGTGCTGCAAAAAAACGCAAAGTAATTTTTCATAGGAGTAGAATAAGCTAAGAATTAATCCAGAACATCGAAGATCCTTCCAACGTCAGTAATACAATACTAACAATGTTTATATTTCAAAAAATATGCAAACATTTCCTTGCCACTAAATATCTGTAGCAAAGTTATTTACAAGCAGGTACTTTGAAAATATGTATCTACTCTGAATTGACTAGGTTTTAATCTGGGGGGCACATGCACCAGAAAAGAGAATAGAAGTTTACTCTGCATTATGTCTGCATGAACTACCCTCATGAACAGGCAAGCAGCACACATCAGGTCATAGCAGCATTGACACAATTCCACATTTGTTTGTAAAGGAGCATCTGAATAATATAACATAATAATGTATTTTAAAAAGATTCTGTACTCAAAGCATTTCAAGAGGCCTTTTAAAAACTGCATTTGTATCCTGCTGTTCTAAAGATGTGACAAAATAAACAGATTTAGAAAATGCACACACTCACTTATTTCCAGAAATTGAACTAAATCGATATTTGAACTTCTTTTTTTTCAGGCATGACACCCGTGAATAAAGTAACGTACACTTCGGTATTGGATTTGAAGATGTTAATTATGGTAAATACATTATTTTAAACAGTATTTTCCAATTAAAAGTTGCTACATCCTTAGAAACACATTTAAAAATCATTACTTGGAAAAAAGAAGTAAAACAGGAAAAGCAAAACCCCTAAAATTTCAACACAGCATCTTTGTCTTCAGAATTTGCCACAGAGCAGTGGAATTATTGTATCAGTCTTCCTACACATATGTTAATGCATATTGATGGAAACTGAAGACTTACTGTGGAAAAAATTCTTAAAAGTATCTGAATGTTATTGAATATTTATTAATTCTAAGTGGAGTTACCTCAGTACATTGTAGGAGGTTTTTAACACCTCACAGGATTAAGAACAGGATTATGTGAGGCAGCTCAAGAGGATACACTATCTGTCTTGAAGAAAAGCAAAGTATAAAATCTTTAATGACATCTGCAGCATCCTCCTTGCCACACATTCAAGATAACAACTACAGATAACTTTTACTGTTAGGGAATCCAAACAAAAAGGCAATTCTGTTCAGTGAAAGAGAATACAGTTTTACATTCTTCGCATTTATTAATCTTATAAAAAGCATACATTTAAATGCTCTTCAGGTGTTTCATTTGGGATTTAGTAATATTAATATGGTCATGTACATAGTTTAATTTGAATAATAACGTATCTTCTTAAATTTGGCAGACATGCCTTATGTTGAGCTTATTAGAGATGAAAATGTAATATTATTTCTATTTTAGTATTTTCTATAACAGTCATCACTCTGCTGTGGAAATGATTCATAAATAAATTAAATGTTTCAAGGGTCTCTGGAGGTCTTAACACTGACAAGTGAAATGATGATAGATTCTGAGTAGAATATATTTCATTCTTTCTTCTTCTGATTAGACATTTCAGAAAGGCTTTGCCAAAAAAAATACAGTTCGAAAATCTTCAGCTTAATTTGACCGTTTTCACTTTTACTTAAACACTTCTTCCTGTTCTTTCCCCTATATGTATCTCTTATTTTTGAGTTCTCCGGGTTTCTCATTCTGGCTTATTTAAGAAAGTTTATGCATGTCGAACATACCTAAACATATTGGAATCGGATAATTCCATCTTCTTACTGGTCCAGGCATACAGGTGATATGCGAATGTCCCTAAAATGACACAATATTTGCTAATTCATACAATAAAATATATGGTATATGGCACATCATTCCTATTTAAATAAAAGTAGTATATAATTTAAAACATCATCAAAATATATAAGAACAATAAGGTATAACATTGTCATTGTACATTGTGAATAGTAACATACCTTCAGTGCAACAAAGAAGACTGTAATTTCAACTGTGACTATGCCGTTAAAATATTATTTCAAACAGTATAACTATATCCAGCTGAATTCTGTAATGCCAAGTTTACTGTAAACCAAGAGTCTAGAAACTAAAAGTCTAATTGAAGCAATGTTTACACAGCACTGATTTGCATCATTTGTGGAATATTATAAAAAGATACAAACTATATACATTACACAGTACCAACTTTAAATCTCAAATTCGTTATACCCATTCTAAATATAGTCCTTACTCTCACCCCCAAAATAGTTGGCTTAAGTTGCTAAAAGTTGAGACATTTAAGGACCCTCTTTACAATATGCTTTCCTTTACATAAGATGAGGTGTTACAACTTCAAGGCAATCTGTTACATCCCTGGAAACATTCAAGACCAGGTTGGACAGGGCTCTGAGCAACCTGATCTAGTTAGTGGTGTCCCTGCTCGCTACAGGGGTTGGACTAGATGACCTCTAGGGGTCCCTTCCCACCCAAAACTTTCTATGATTCTATGATTCTATAAGTTCCAAGACCCACCAGAGCGACCCTCTGTGTTGTTCATTAGTCTCACGTAATAGTAATTGTCTTCCAGAGACAGCAAATGAAAATGAAGTATCTTACAGAAAACTACTTGGAATATCTTGCAAAATCATGTAGTATACACTTAAGATGACCTAGCAGAAAAAAATCAGTAGCTTTTAGCCTATTTTTTCAACCTTCATACAAAGAGAAAAATTAGTTTTTCATGTTAAATCTCCTTAACTATTCAGAACCTGTAGCATCTGAGGGAACCAAATACCTCTTAAGCATCCAGGGTAACTGTGAACAGATTATTCATCAATCTGCAGCCCATTTTTTTTTCTCCTAGAAGAAAAATAAGCACACTTTCTCCATAGTGCAAGTAGGTATATCTGCACTTTGCTAGATGAAAAAAAAGTAAATGGCCAAGTCATAATGTATAAGCCAGAAAAACAATAAGCAGGGAAGAGGTTTTACGTGTGTGTTTGCACAGTCTATGCTCCAATGTTCTTTACATTTGCTTTACTTCAGCCATTTACTGTGGCTAGTCTGCTCACACATTTGTATTTAAGTATGAAATTAAAACAAAGCAGAAAAAAAATAAATGACAATTTGTTCTTTAAGAATGACAGGCTAAAATCAGGCAATGTAAGAAGTAAACATCAATAGTTATCATCAGAGCTGCAATCACAGAGCATTTAAGTTATTCTTGAAATGCTAGAAGGCTGCAGGCATGACTAAGAGCTCTTGAAACTGGAAACAAGGGATACAGGTCCCAAATCCAAACAGCAGTTGAGATCTGGAAGCAGGCAAGTTTGTGCTTTTTTAAAATTTTTTTTCATCAAAAAAAACAATTCAGTTTCTCTTTTTGACACAGTACATATGGCCCCAGCATTTAGATCTTAATAGAATTATGTAAAATGAAAGTTTGAAATTATTTGCATTTTCAACGTGACACAGGCCAGACTGATGTTAATGAAGAAAGAAAGGCCCGTAAGTTATCCTTTTGCTGTTTTACTCCAAAGGTATCAATAACTCTGTTAGCCATTAAACTTGTGCTGTTATATACAAAACTTTTTCTCCCTTTCAGATGTTTCTTTTTACTACGCATAAGTATTGTGATTATTTTCTCTCTTTTTACAGTGGATTTTCTCTCTTTTTACAGTGGATTTGGTTCTGCAGTGTAACTATCCAAATTTTCTAAAATATTTTCAAGCTCTTTCCTGTAGTCAGACAGGTGTCTACTGGTTACATATGCTAAGTAACTCAAAAGAGGCAAATTATCACAGTTTACAGTTACTGCACTGCTCCTAGTTATACATTTTGCTAATGTCAGAGCATAGAAAATTTGTTTGGCAAAAACATAACCATATTTGAAAACCTTTTTGGATAAAAAACACCAAGAAATTCCTGAAAAAAAGCAACTGTTGCTATCAGAATTACTGAGAAAAACTATTATTTCCTTCCACATTGTTGGTTCTTATTCTACTTTTTGACTTACTTTCTTTTTCCTCATGTACATCAGCAACTATTGATAATTGCTTATCAAATTAGATCAATAAAATTGATTTTAGAGACCATTTAAACAATCTGGACACCCACAAAACCATGGGACCCAACGGAATGCACCCACAAGTGCTGAGGGAGCTGGCAGATGTCATTGCTGAGCCACTCTCCATCATCTTTGAAAGGTCTTGGAGGAAAGGAGACGTGCTCGAAGACTGAAGAAAAGCCAGTGTCACTCCAATCTTCAAAAAGGGCAAGAAGGAGGATCCAGGGAACTACAGGCCGGTCAGCCTCACCTCCATCCCGGGAAACGTGATGGACCATCTCATTCTGGAGGTCATCATCAAGCAAGGGGAAGAAAAGAAGGTTATCAGTAGTCAGCATGGATTCACCAAGGGGAAATCATGCCTGACCAATCTGATAGCATTCTATGATGGCGTGACTGGCTGGGTAGATGACGGGAGAGCACTGGATGTTGTCTACCTCGACTTCAGCAAGAATTTTGACACTGTCTCCAATAATATCCTCACAGGGGAGCTCAGGAAGTGTGGGCTAGATGAGTGGTCGGTGAGGTGGATTGAGACCTGGCTGAATGGTAGAACTCTGAGGGTTGTCATCAGTGGCGCTGAGTCTAGTTGGAGGCTGGTAACTAGTGGTGTCCCCCAGGGGTCAGTACTGAGCCCAGTCTTGTTTAAGTTCTTCATCAATGACTTGGATGAAGACTTAGACTGTCCCCTCAACAACTTTGCTGATGACTCCAAACTGGGAGGAGTAGTGGATACACCATCAGGCTGTGCTGCCATTCAGTGAGACCTGGACAGTCTGGAGAGTTGGGCGCAGAGGAACCTAATGATGTTCAACAAAGGCAAATGAAGGGTCCTGCACCTGGGGAGGAACAACCCTAGTGAGGCCTCATCTGGAGTACTGTGTCCAGTTCTGGGCTCCCCACTTCAAGAAAGATGAGGAGCTACTGGAGAGAGTCAGGCAGAGGGCTACGAGGATGATGAGGCGATTGGAGCATCTGTCCTATGAGGAAAGGTTGAGGGAGCTGGGCTTGTTTAGCCTAAAGATGAGAAGGCGGAGACGGGACCTTAGAAATGCCTACAAATATCTGAAGGGTGGGTGTCCGGAAGATGGGGCCAAACTCTTTTCAGTGGTGCCCAAAGACAGGACCAGGGGCAATGGGCACAAACTGAAGCAGGGGAAGTTGCATCTGAACATGTGGAAGAGCTTGTTTACTCAGAGGGTGACAGTTGGAATAGGTTTCCCAGAGAGACTGTGAATCCTGCTTCTCTGGAGATATTCAAAACCCGCCTGGATGAAGTCCTGTGCAGCCTGCTGTAGGTGACCCTGCTTAGGCAAGGGGTTGGACTAGATGACCCACAGAGGTCCCTTCCAACCCTTACCATTCTGTGAAGTCATCTAACTCGATTTGCCAACACTTCGCAGTTCAGCTGTGAATACCAAATATGCCATCATTAATAGATGACCAGTAATGCAGAGGCAGCACAGAGCCATACACTTCTCATGGAATATTTGGATAGTTGCTAATTTAATACTTGGGAGAAAACCTACCAATCCTGCAAGCTTATCACGTATTCAAAACTCCTGAAGAGTTCAGTGTCCATTTCATATTGGCAGACTCAAATGTAATGATGTTAAAGAACCAAAAGCTACCATTTGAAAAAGGAAACTTGGCTCACCTGAAGAGAATAACCCTGATCACATTGGAAAGACACAACGTCTCCAACCATGTATCTGTCTCCAATTTTGATCCCATTGCTTGGGGTCTGTGGTTCAGGACAGGAGTCCAAACCTATAGCTGTGAAAAAATGAGAAATTTAGACATCCTAAGGAACATAAAATGTGATTTTAGATTCACATAGAACTTCTGTGTACACTGTCCATAGGCACACTCTATTGAGCTGTTTTAGGCAGCTCTTCAGTACCAGCATTTTATCTGTGGACAAGAAAGTGGCTTGTTATTTTGAAACAACTGTTATATTAGGAGAAAAACCTTCTTTTTCTGAGTAAAGAAAATGGAAAGAAATAATCAGGGTGGCAACAAACATGTCCCAATAATCTGCAGTCTCAATTCAAACTCTCCTCTATTTCCACTACTTCCTGGCTCAGACTCACTTATTTCCACCTTCAGTCTCACTCCTAATTACAGTCTACCTAATTCAAACCGGGAGTGCCCCCCCTTTACTTTCGCAGCCTCTGTTCCAGTGGATGCTGGTCAATACCACACCAAGTGCAAAGCACAGGAAAACCAGTGCAAACTGTAACTGCTTACTTACATTCAATCCTTCACAAGTCTGACTCTTCCATTCATGTACAGACACTCACACAGACAGAGGAACTATTTACATCAGATTTCACCTAATCTGCTCTTTTTAATGAAATATCTATGGAGTTATAACACAATATTCTGAATTTCTGATTGCAATAGTTCTGAAAGCTCGTTTGCCAAGAGACATTGTATGTAAAAATGCAAAAAAAACCCAACCTCAAGTAGATTTTAAACTGATAATCTAGTTTGTAATTCGTGTTCTTAAAAATGCATAGGGCACATGACAATTTATATAAAAGTATATTAAAAGAAAAAACTGTTTGAGCTAAAATCCTTGCAATCTACAGTTTATTCAAATAAGTAAAACTCAGGACAATGACAGTAAAAACATCCTGCTACGAAATATAATCCAATTCTAAACTGGAAAAAAAACTTAATGCCTTTGCAGTCTTTATTTTCTCTGCTGAGAAGAGTAATGAGAGGGAAAAACATTTTTTACTGCAGATACCTTTTGATGGGAATCCAAAATAACTGACAGTGATCCACAAACTGAGCAGATGTACTCATTAGTCTCAGTCACTGATAACTTCATGAATTTTTTTATAATTTTATATTTTGGTACTAAGCAACTTATAGAATTAACAACAATATTTTTACCATGATATTCAATACTAGTTTGCATCATTTTGTGTGGAAAGAAATGTCTCTATTTTGAAAAAGTTAGTATTTACTTTGTCACTCCAATCTTCAAAAAGGGCAAGAAGGAGGACCCAGGGAACTACAGGCCGGTCAGCCTCACCTCCATCCCGGGAAAGGTAATGGAGCAGCTTATCCTGGAGGTCATCACCAAGCAAGTGGAGGAAAAGAAGGTTATCAGGAGTAGTCAGCATGGATTCACCAAGGGGAAATCATGCCTGACCAATCTGATAGCTTTCTATGATGGCGTGACTGGCTGGGTAGATGAGGGGAGAGCACTGGATGTTGTCTACCTCGACTTCAGCAAGGCTTTCAACACAGTCTCACATAATATTCTCCTAGGGAAGCTCAGGAAGTGTGGGCTGGATGAGTGGTCGGTGAAGTGGATTGAGAACTGACTGAATGGCAGAACTCAGAGGGTTGTCATCAGCGGCGCTGAGTCTATTCGGAGGCCGGTAACTAGTGGTGTCCCCCAGGGGTCAGTACTGAGCCCAGTCTTGTTTAAGTTCTTCATCAATGACCTGGATGAAGAGTTAGAATGTACCCTCAACAAATTTGCTGATGACACCAAACTGGGAGGTTGTGGTAGATGCACTGGCAGGCTGTGCTGCCATTCAGTGTGACCTGGACAGGCTGGAAAGTTGGGCAGAGAGGAATCTGATGAGGTTCAACAAAGGCAAATGCAGGGTCCTGCACCTGGGGAGGAACAACTGGAGTACTGTGTCCAGTTCTGGACTCCCCAGTTCAAGAAAGATGAGGAGCTACTGGAGAGAGTCAGGCAGAGGGCTACAAGAATGGTGACGGGACTGGAACATGTCTCCTACGAGGAGAAACTGAGGGAGCTGGGCTTGTTCAGCCTGAAGAAGAGAAGGCTGAGAGGGGACCTTATAAATGCTTACAAATATCTGAAGGGTGGGTGTCAGGAGGATGGGCCCAAACTCTTTTCAGTGGTGCCCAGTGACAGGACAAGGGGAAATGGGCACAAACTGAAGCATAGGAAGTTCCGTCTGAACATGAGGAAGAACTTCTTCCCTCTGAGGGTGACGGAGCACTGGAACAGGCTGGCCAGAGAGGTTGTGGAGTCTCCTTCTCTGGAGATATTCAAGACCCACCTGGACAAGGTCCTGTGCAGTCTACTGTAGGTGACCCTGTTTTGGCAGGAGGGTTGGACTAGATGACCCACAGAGGTTCCTTCCAACCCGTACCATTCTTTGATTCTGTACTTCAGGGGTCTCATCTTCAGCTTCACAGAAGAGGATGTAATATTCTTTTCTCTGTGACAATAATACTTATGTATATATTGATCACATACTTACCAATCCTATATAGATCCCATGTTTGCCATATACAAAATGATGCGAGTATTTTGCAGCCTATTTCTACATAACAGAAGACTTTTCTCTTTCAAATTCTTTTTTTTTCTTCTCAAACTACAAACAAAATAACACCAAAGAATCTATTTTGAAAGGAGTTGATGGGCTTATATCCACTTTTTACATTTTAGAGATCCAGCTGGTGATCCAGCTCGTGTGTAAAGCACAAATGCAAATCCATTTTGTACAGTTAAAGAAAAAGTTAATAGTTTTCAGTTTCCAGTTGCTGAACCTTCAGCTGAAATGCAAAATCTAACTATGTGAATACTCAGGCCATGTGCAGTGAAATGAGTTCTTTTAAATGCCTTTCTCAGAGTAGGTGCCTTAACAGCTCAAACCGGATCACAAGTATTTATCCTGTTGTGCTTACACTTTGTTATGGTTTGGCTGCGGCTGGCAACAAAAGTGCCATGCGGCCACCCCTCCCCCCCCCAGGGTGCGGAGGAGAATGGAAAGAAACAGGCAGAAACCAGTGGGTCGGGATAAGGGCAGTTTAACAGAACAGCAAACAAAGGGAACAGTAACAACAATGATACAGATGAGGAGAATACGCAACACAAACCGCAAAATCCAGAGAGCCGCTCCCACCACTGTCCACTCCCGAGCCGCGAGTGAGTTCCAACCGCCCCCCCACCAGAACCCAACATGACAGCACGTGGTATGGAATACCCTGCTCTGTTTGGCCAGGTGGGGTTAGCCCACCCGGCTGGGTCCCCTCTGGGATTCTGGTGAAAATTAACCCTATCCTGGCCAAACCCAGGACACACTCCCTTTGCCAGCAGCTCCTAAAGCTCAGTATGTAAAAAGTTACTAGTGTATTTTTGGACAGTGCATTCTGGGACTACACAAGCCTTGATACAATAGCCCTTTTATTTTTTAAAATGATTACTGCAATTTTTTTGGAAATATTTTAGTATTTATGATGTTAGAACTATACACCGTACAGTTTAAATACATAGATTTCTCGGGATTATATTTTAGAATGAAAATTAGTGTGTCATATTTTTTAGTAATTTTAAATAGATACATAGTGTTATAGAAATTATGTATGATGCAATCTGACAAACTCAACTAATCTCAAAGAATACAACTATTTAGTTATAACCATTAGTAAAACATAATAAATTACCTAAATATCAAAACTTTAGTTAGAGAAAATGAGGACTAAGTTAAGTTTTATAGTGGCATAAAACATACAAACATTATGTAAATATTTAACAAACCATTCTGTGGTGCTCTTCATTAATGTAATTCAGTAGATGCAATATATTTCATATTTAAGGTGTGTGTTAGAGAACATAAACAACATGTTATAAATATAATAAGCATTTAAGGATTCAATAAAGAAGTGACAATATTCCAGAAAAAAGATTATTGATAAGACCACTAAAGGGTTTTGGAATATGAATATTTAATTCCTTATGTTTGAGTATCATTTAATTGGTCTTAAATATTTCTTCAACAAATAAACTTCCTTTTGTTTTATTTTATTTTTATATTAAAAAAACTGCATTTGGATTTTGTCGCCATTCAAAAGATGAGCCAGAATGGACAGCATGAAAAACCTGTTAATAAATGATGAAAAGAGATATTGGAAATGAAATAGAATTAAACTTTCTTGCAGGAAACCATGGTTGAGATGAAACAGTAATGATTTTGGCAAGAGAGGTGCACTTTCCCTGAAACTTGTGTCTCCTAGAATACATGAACTAGACTTGGAAGATGCACTACATCTGGAACAAAGAAAGTTTATTGCTAACTCACTTGAAAATTGCTTAATACAAATATTTAACTCTGATGTGATTTTCAATGAGAACTATGCACCTATACTTCAAAGAGTAAGACTTTAGTGTAGCTGACTCCTTATGACGAACTCTGCCAGTATCGGCTCCAGTGAAATGCAATAAATGTGTTAAACACTGGCATTAAAATGTGTCCATTACTTTCTATTTACTAACTATTTTTAAAAATATCATCAGAACTTTTATAGCAGGAAGTGTTGTCCGAGAGTCAGAGATGGCCAGGACAACTGAGGAGAGTGAACTCTGTTCTGATTGGATGCATTTCTGGAGAAATTTCAGTAGAAATACAGCATTATTGTGAGTTCTGGAATCCTAACAAAAATTCCTGTCTTTCCATTGCAGAAAGCTTCAAGAGACAAAAATACAGAAGATACACCAGGTGCAGTTTCTGTTTTCTTCCTTCCAGCAATGACAAGAAAGTATTGCCCCTTAGCTTAATTTCCTGTATCAAATTAGTGATTCCGCCCAATGCAGAACTTTCCATAGACTTTTATTGAAAAAAAGTTAAGCTACAGATGAAAAAAAGAAATCATAAAACTTTCTTCCAATCCACAGGTAATAGAGACTATGTCTTTCTCAACGAGTAGTAGGGAGTAATAATCATGGATCTGTGGACTGAAACAGCTGGTGCCTAGGACTCAAGACCCACACTAATTGTTAAGACAAAGGGTTTTATTATTATTAGCTTTAGTTAGTTATGTCCTATAGGCTGACTGTCTATTACTGTCATTAGCTGAAATCATAGAATCATAGAATCATAGAAAGTTTTCGGTCGGAAGGGATCCCTAGAGGTCATCTAGTCCAACCCCCCTGCAGCAATCAGGGACACCGCTAACTAGATCAGGTTGCTCAGAGCCCTGTCCAACCTGGTCTTGAATGTTTCCAGGGATAGGGCCTCCATTACCTCTCTGGGCAACCCGTTCCAGTGTTTCACAACCCTCATTGTAAAGAATTTCTTCCTTATATCTAGCCTAAACCCACCCTGTTTTAAAACCATTACCCCTCATTCTGTCACTGTTGTCTCTGCTAAAAAGATTGTCCCCATCTTTCCTATAGGCTCCCTTAAATGTTGAGGTAGACCCTCCTATTAGTTTTGCATGACAGGAATCCAGTTTGCATGCTCTGAAACCACTTTTTAGTTAGGTGGTGTGAGCTAGCAAGTGGTAAATGAACAAGGATGCCTAATGCTTTACATTTTTCCACATTTATTCTACAAAAGCATTTTATTATTTTGTAATTTGCACTATAGGATTTTAGTTACCATGTACCTCTCTTTTAAACATCAAAATGATCTTCTCCATATTTTCTATTTTATTTTTCCTATTAATAGTTTATATGTTGTGTATTCCACAGATTTTATGGAGGTATTTTGGTCACTTAATCCTATTCTGTACTTTGAATACCACAGATTTTACTTCAAAATTCCAACACGTGCACAATAATTTATGTTTATTTTAAAGTATTTCTTTATAAAATATTTCACATTTTGCAGAAAATATTAATTCAGAAGTCATCATAGTTTAGTCTCTAACTGCAATTCTTTTCTTGCCACGGAATTTTTGCCCTTAATGTTTATATTTGTTTCCAATAGAGATTACAGATTTAGACATTGTTTTGCAATTTCCTCACTCTGTCCCAAAATCTATATGATGTATTAATCACATATCTCTATCACCTGCACATGAAAAGTTAATTAATCATTAATCTTGTAAAATGACATACTTCACTAAGCTACGAGTTAATTTGGTATCTACTGAGAGACATCAATATTCTTTCCTGAGTCACATTTTTTCAGCCTATACTTTAGGTTTATACACTCACGCAGAAATTGTTACTTATGTACAGATTCACACATACACCCTTGTATAAATACATACACACATACATAGCTATTGCTCTTTGCACAGACCAATACTTTCAATGATATATTGTGAATTCTTGCTATATTTAGAGGTGAAATTTGTATAGTGGCAGTACACTACGCATTTCAGTTATTTGGATACGTAGGAATACACAGATGCCTTTTTTTACTTTCACTGGATTCAGTCTCATTTTACTTTGTTTTCATAGCTTCCTGCAGCTTTTTCCCCTTTGAAGTTTCAAGCAGCTGAGAGAGTATCTGGATGTCAAGGAAACGGCAGGAAAATTCTAACCTATAATTAATGTTTAGTTATAGACAAGAGATCAGGCAGCAATTTTGCAAGGCCATGTTCTCCAACTGGCTAATCAGACAACCAGAGCATGGGATTTTCATGCTGTAAAACTGAGAAGAAATAACCATGACACTATTATGCAGATCAGACACCAGAACCAATATGAGCAGAGGGAACTGCACAGCTGGGAAGAAAAAAAAATAAAATCTGCAACAAAATATTAGTGATTGACAGAATTCCTGTCAGACATCTAAGGCAATCTCAGACAGAAATTATGTATGCAATTACAGCCTTTTCCACTGCTGAGGTACACAGCAATAACAAAAATATTTTAAATAATTCTGCTGTGTTCCCACCAACCTGTGAGCATTTGTCAGTTAGTTAAGAAGCACAGCTGCTATTTTCAGTTTATTCATTCTCTCATTTTTGTTGAGAGTGATTAATTTCCATGTCCTACACATACATACAAACTATATGCTATATAGTGCATATATTGTTGTATTGGGTATAATTTGCAGATTTGCCAGGTTTTGGGTGCTAGGGTGCAGGGCTGCAGGGGTGACATCTGTGGGAAGAGACCTAGGGCTGTGCCAGACACAGTCACTTCCAGACGGCTGCTATGGACCCACCGCACGACACATCTGCACCTACCAAAGCGGTTTGTGGTGCCTCTGAACCATTCAGATGCATGTCTGTGAAAACATATTTAAGGAAAGGCTGTAAGCAACAAGAAAAGGAACAACAGTGCCAGAGCAAGAGGAGAGAGGAGACCTCACTGAAGGAGGACAGAGAGAAGAACATGACTGAGCAGAGGCTGCAGCTGAAGCAGCTGGCTGAGCAGGGGCTGGAGCCCGAGAATCCACCCGAGCAGACACTGAGAGGTGGGGCCCTAAAGGGACTGCAGGAACTACAGGACCCTGACCCAAACCGCTGCGCTGCGCTTGCCTCACCAAAGGGACAGAATGCAGTGTGTGGCGAGAGCACTGGGGAGCAAAAAAGTGTGTGTGCAGGGAGCTGTCTGGAGGAAAGTGGGGGAGTTTTTCACAAGATTTTGTTTGTTATTATTTTTCTTCAGTACCAGAATCAGTAATTAATTGCTAATTGGCAAAGAAGTCAAACTGAAATCACCCAAATCAGTATGCTGATTTTGCCTGCAACAACTATATAAATATGTTATATCCTGGTACTAGGATTGTCATGTGAGCATATCTGCACTTATTCCTTGCTGCTGTAGGTTCAGAAAAGCTTTTCAGAGAGCAAAAGCAAATTAAAGGTGAAAGAAAGACAAACAAAACTTCCCAGTCCTTAAAGCATAGGTTTCAGGAGTGATCTTGCTCCCTTGGAATTAAAAGAGGATTTTACCAATGACTTTGAAGCAATGGTATGTAGCTCATTATGCACAATAGGACTGAATATTCCTCTTTAGTATAGTTTAGGTACACCTGATGTCTGGAACCAGAAAACACTCTTAATTAATTGAACATTTCTGCATTACCTGTATACTCAAGATGAAATCCAGCAGCTGAAACACTGATATCAGACTGAAAATTTAGGTACAGATTATTTGATGTGCTGTTGAGAAGTGGAGGTATGGTTGTTCCTGAAAAGAGAAACCAAAATATTATTGAAATGCACAGAAACTGAACTAAATGCATATATAAATGTATGTGTGTGTATACAAAGAGAGAAAGAGAAAAAGAGAAAGGAAGGGAGTGGGGAGAGAAGACGGGAGGGGGAGAGAGAGAGGTCGCATAACCAATTCCACCATATTTTGTCATCATGGATGTTATTAATATCTGTCGTTATAAAATTTTTATTACATTTTCAGTGCACCATAATATCAGAAACACAAACTGTAGGCACTTAGGGAAGCAGGGTCTAAAATCAATTTATATTACACGCTTTCATCTGAAAAAAGGAGACATTCGCTAGGGCTTTCATAAAACCAAGACCAAATCCTGTAACTGGATTAATTTTAAATATTACCGTTAACTATATCTAGCAGCTCTGAACATGTTTTGTAGGGCTATTCTTTGAATTCTTTATTTGTGTTTCAGCACTACTGTCTGTGATCTCATTCCATACACATAAATAAAGTAGAATAAAGGAAAACAAAGCAAAACGGGAAAAAGTAAGGCAAACAGAACTGTCTCTTTTATCTAAAATAAAGATACAGAATGCATCCTTTAGTCATGTACAATTTCAAGAAGCATCTCTTTTAGAGGTCTGTATTTCTGAACCCTGCTATAACAGTGGGAAAAAAATAAGATTAATAAATATCTAGTTTATTTAATTTCTAACATTTTTAAATATTCAGTTTTATGAAAATCTGCTAAGAGGTGACTGATTAAAACAGAAAGAATACTCCCTGTTGTTAATTGTAGGAGAAACACACACACACACGAACTTGAAAGAGCTGTGTGTTTACAATAAAAAGTTGAATTTATGAAACACTTCTTAGTCACCTGAATAACTTCCAAGCCTTGGAGCATTGTTGTCACCACCATCATAAAAGTCTAAGGAATCCCAGTTGTGTTCTGTGGCAAAACTCACCACTTGCACCTATGAAGAAATATGAGGTAAACAACATAAAATTCTTCCCCTCTGTATTCAAGAACAGATGAATGTGAATTGTAGCCTTTGTTGTTGTCAATCACGAAAAGTTGTGTCTTGCTCTCATTGCCAAACAGAATAGAAAATCATCATTAAGTGAATAAAATTACATTGCTACATATTTTTTTAATTTAACTGCCAGTTCAGACTTCTAAATCCTGTAACCCTTAGTGACAACCACGTATTACTGCTGACAAAAGCCACACAACTGTGAAAAACATCTGGGAATAGAATATGATTCCCTTGTTTGGAGGACACTGAGGGGAAGAAAAGCTTGGTATTGTCAATTACTGTAGTTTCTTCGTGATTCTCTAGTTTACCCAGGGCTACAAAGAGTCCTACAGTGATGCATGCTGCTTCATCTATCTTGCCATGTTCAATTCCGCCTTTGGGTAAGAGCAACATCCTGTGTTTGGTTACTTTCATCATTGACTCATCCTCTGAGGACTAGCACTCACTAGCATGCTACAAGCAAAAGCCAGAATGTTTGCTTCATCCTTGCAGAAATGACAACATCCTTCCACTCATAAGGAGGTGCAAAGAGGTAAGCAGATAGACTGCAAGAGGGAAGGTATTTTGGTTCTCGTACAGTGAAAACACTCCCCACAAAGTAGACACATGCAAGGTTCCTGTTTCTGTTTTGGTGGGCAGAGTCTGGCAGTTTTTAGTTTTAGTGAAATGACTGTTTAATGAAAAGCATTTGAAGAGTGACAGAAGCACAGATGAAATTCCAACCACTCTGAAAAAAGGGGTACCGTAGCCACTAAGTTAGAGAATTATGCTTCTTTTACTGTTCTTCTGCCTCACATACTCTTCCTTTTAATTTCTTCAAAATGGAATAATTTGAATAAAACAAATAAGCACTGGTTCCAGTACAACTAGGTAACAAAGTTGGTTTTTTTTTGTGAAATATATGACTTGGACTTTCTTCTAGGTAAAAAGAATGTTCAGTTTGGCTACGTATTTCTTGGATGAGTGCCTTAAATACTGCACTTTTGGTAGGAATTGGTCAGATACTACAGCTGAAGTTTGGTATTTTCAAAAAAAAAAAAAAAAGAAGCAGTGAAGAAGCCCTGACTCTTAGCATGTGTTAGCTGCTTGGAGGAGGCCCACTGGATCTGGTCTCTCAGAAAATTTTAAGATTTTTTTTATTTTTTGGTTCACAAGGGATTTAAGTGAAACTTCTAGATGTTGTTTCTGGTAGCAATATTTCTGAAGACATATGGAATTGAAAGTGCAGACACCTAGGAAACCTTCAGACCAAATTCCAAATTATCTATTATTTTTTATGTGTTTTCAGGGCCAGATTGCTGCCGACTATATTTGTCATAAAACACCTAATTTAAAACATCTGTTCAAGTGCAACTGACACTAATTGTCCTAACCTCCCCATGTAGTCAATAAATAGACATAGCAACGATTCAGAGACATAGTCTATATTAGATGTTATGAATTATCTACCTGAGGTGCCTTTCTTCCCTACCTTTGTAAGGAACCATGGTAGATTAATTTCCTGATATAAGGTATTTAAGTTAGGTGCCTGAAGGCAGGCTTTTAGTGCACGCTTTTCATATTTACCTACATCTACTTACAAATGTGTGCTTTTCCATTTGATATGAGACAGCTCAGCATTTACGTCTATTCACATAGTTTCAACAAATTCAACAATGTAATCATACACATTGATAGCTGTTTATAGCTAGATAATTTAAAATTCCATTTACACATTTCAGAGAGGAATATACATTGGTGATATGTTCTTTTCATTTCCTTTAAAGCTGGGAAAGTGTCTTTATTACTTTGGTGGAATAGATACCGGTCGGGAAAAATGTCCAGATATTTTATCCATTTACATAAACACAAAAGCATTAGCTGTCGCAGTATATTGACTATCTGTATTTCCATACATTCTCAGGTCGGATAAAATCAGTCACCTAAGTTTTCAAATGTTGCCTCAAGTAGATGACTTTCACAGTAATAATTATGTGTTTATATATATATATACACACACACACACACATATATTCAGGTGTTTTTCTTTCCTATGAAGTGAAAAAAATAAAATCAAAACAAACCTGATGTCATTTTTTTATGTCATCAGCAGATAAAAAGCTAAGCTCTGTTCTGAAGAGTAACTCAGTAAAAATGGTATGAGATCTCTGAGGTGTACTCTGTCTTAGTGAATCAGCTGTACTCATTTTACTGTATCAGGGGCTTTAGCTTCTCAGACATAGCCCTGAAAAATCATACAGGATTCAAAGGACCAAGCATGAATATCTCACTTCATGACTGTCCTGCTTCAGTGACAGTATTAAACATTCTACAGCTCTAATTGCAATCATACAGGTACACCCATGAAACTTCTCTGTTGTCATTACATTTATACAAGTATAAATGAATAACTTATTCAGTCACTGATAATAGAAAGGAAGGATGGTATTCACTATCTCAGAAAAAAAACTCAGGAGAACTAGAAAAAAAAACCCCAAAGAGTACATATTTCTTTTTTCTTGTAATTCTGGAGCAAAAGAATACAGTGCAGATTAGACACCTAACCTGAAATCTAAGTTAGTAATTTAGTAACCTGCTGCAGTCTGTGATAGGAGATAAACACTTCCAAAAAGCAACAGTGACTGCCTAAATTAGGATGCCAGTTATTGCCTGATTAAAATCCTCTGAACTATCCTCCTAGTGTTTAACTTACATTATTGATTGTATAAGAAATACACAGCAAAATACCCTTAGTCAACTATGTAAATCAAGTAGTGTTCCTCAAAATTAATCTCAAAACTGATTTAGTTTATTAAATAAAATTGTAAATGGAAATTTGTGGCTTTGAATATTGAACTCATAGATGTTATCATGTATGGACTTAGGTTGTATTTGTGATGGTTTCTGTGTTCTGTAAAGGTTTTGTTTTTCTTCGGTATTTTTATTTATTTAAAACAAAAAAAAGATTTTTCTGAATGCTTATAAAGTACAAGTAAAAACTCATGCTAGTTTTAACAATTACTGTGACAGAACTAAATACCTTAAAAGCTCTGTTATGCAATTTATTAAAAAGACATCTTTAATAAAATGGTCACAGTGGTTTTCCTGATTTTCATTATTAAATCTTTACATGCAGAAACCGAGCTCTTTATTTATTCATTTCTACGGTAGTTATATTTTGAACCAAGTGTAGACATAGGAAACTTGCTACCATGGTTTCTTGATATGTGTTTTGCTAAGAATCTGATCAGATGATCAGATGTTTTCATTTATTAAACACAGATGTCTTCCCAATAACCATATTTCTGTCAGTTTCTTTAGTGAATTCTAAAAACTGAGATATACATGACTTAGTTTAAAGGATACTTATCTGCTATGTGTTCAACGAAGTTTTTAATCTAGATGTTAGTAAACAAGAATTCCGACAATGTTTTGAAGGATCCATTTCCATCTCGTGTTGAAACATGTTGTCTTTATAGTACAATGAACTTTCACAACTATAAAGTCAGTAACAGAGTTTCTACAAAAACTTATATAATTTGTCCACGGAAGCAACCCACTTCATTTCACTCAGTGGAGGTTAATCCATTTTCAGAAAAAAAAAAAAAAAAATCACAAGAAAGCCTCTCTATTTTGTCTGGCTTACAAGGAGTTACTGACCTATTGAAATAATACATTTTAAATTATTGGAAATTTTCTTCTAAGTAAAAAGTTGCAAGTGTATTTTTTAAAATTTTTGTAAGTCTTGTACTTTTAATGACTGCGTGTATAAAAGATGTGCAACGAATTCTATCGTGAGAATCATGAGTGAGATATAGGAAAATGTATGAGTAAATGATATTTTCATGTTCTTGCATTAGGAAAAACAGCTTTAAACACAAAGATAACAAGCAAATAGCAAGCATACTTACTTGAATCCCAGCTCCCTCTGGTACTGTAATCTTCCACACACAATTCAGATTGTTGTCGTAAGGCTCAGGGTAACCAGGAGACAAAATGGTCCCTTTGCGCTTTGTTAAAACTCCACCACAGGGCACTGAAAGAAAATGCAGAAGAGAAGAAAAGAAGTACGAAGCTTCAGAAGTTAAAAAAGTTATTATAAGAGCTTACACAACATTCAGCATACTATGGCTGAAAACTTTTGTAAATTTATGCTACATTAAAAAAAAAAAACTATTTGCTTCAGGAAAATAAAATCTTGGATCTCAAAAACTTTCTTTTAAATGGCCAAAAAAGAATAAAGGACAATTGTAATTATGTCAGTTTTATACCTGACAAAATCATACTCCTATTCCTCTTCTTTATTTGACCTTTAAAAAAGTGAAATCCATTCCATTGTCTCCTAGTAATCTTACAAAAATAAAGCATTATTTTTAGGGGTTAAGAATAGAGTTTGAACAGTTACATATTGTATTAGTATTTTAAAAAAAATAAAAAAGCAAAATATTGTTACTTTGTTGTTGTTTAAATAATTAATAGCAGAAGTATCAACTCCTCGACTGTTCTCTTTGTTTGTGTGAGTTATCCCATTACAGACTACGGATCTATTGTATTAGTAAAGAGATTGCTAAATGCTTGCCAGACTGCACTCATCATATCCTTGTCCATGGATTAATAAAAGTGTTACACATGAAACAGGACAGAGGTATTCAGTGCCATCAAGTTTCTCTTCTGAACATTCAGCTTGAATATATCTTGTCTAAATCATTAGATGCTCTAACAGAGACAAAGAATATTACAGTTTAATCTAGATACAGATATTCTGTTGGTATTTAAGAATTTGAAGGAAAAATTGATGAGATGTGTTAACAAAACCTTTAGAATCTAATGTATCACTTCTGTGCAACACTACTAAGTTCCGAACTGATTACATTAGATACAAATATGAGGATTTAGAAAATAGGTAGGAGAATGCAACTTATCTTAATAATGAATACTGTAGCTACATTGTGTGTGGCATATAATTGACAGGTTCTGTTAGGAATTGCATGGACAAACTAAAGATCAATTTCACATAATATTTTTAAATAATTACTCATAAAAGGACGAACAGACAGAATGACTGATGTCTGCTATCTGTAAGGAAATATTCAAGCATTCACTAGAGTTAAGGAAATTTAATATGGTCATGTCTGTTACTTCAATTATTAAACTGCTTTAGTTCAATGCAATTTTCACCTCATATATATTTTATTATTTTTATTGGCAAAGTGATTTTCACACATAAGATGTCCTGTAACCCTTTCTCAGTTCAACTTGCTTAGAGAAAGATAACTTTCTCTTTCAGAAAATAAATCATGTATTAAAATATCAATAATATATTGTGATCAATGGTCAAAATAATTATTTTAACACTGTTGAGTTGTTATTTCTGAAAATCAAAAGGAATACATTTCAAGGGGGAAAATAGTACAATTCTACTGATTAAATTGTAAACACCGAGAATACATGAAATACAGTTATATACTTCAGTTTCTTAATGGTACATAAATTCTGGATTTATTCCTATGCCTGAAACACAATAAATGTTATTTAATTAATAAATAAACATTATTTGTCTATAATAGTCGGTTAATCATATTTCATTAATATTACCTCAGTGGTACTTTGCTTTCATCTCTATCAAGATTTCAGTATTTTAGAGAAAATATTTTGTTTTATTGAAAACCACTCAGACTCTACCATGCATTAGAAGCTGATCACAGAATCACGGAATCACAGAATAGTAGGGGCTGGAAGGGACCTCTGTGGGTCACCTAGTCCAACCCCCCTGCCGAAGCAGGGTCACCTACAGTAGGCTGCACAGGATCTTGTCCAGGCGGGTCTTGAATATCTGCAGAGAAGGAGACTCCACAACCTCCCTGGGCAGCCTGTTCCAGGGCTCCGTCACCCTCAGAGGGAAGAAGTTCTTCCTCATGTTCAGACGGAACTTCTTGTGCCTCAGTTTGTGCCCATTGCCCCTTGTCCTGTCACTGGGCACCACTGAAAAGAGCTTGGCCCCATTCTCCTGACACCCACCCTTCAGATATTTGTAGGCATTTATAAGGTCCCCTCGCAGCCTTCTCTTCTTCAGGCTGAACAAGCCCAGTTCCCTCAACCTCTCCTCGTAGGAGAGATGCTCCAGTCCCCTCACCATCCTTGTAGCCCTCCGCTGGACTCTCTCCAGTAGCTCTTCATCTTTTTTGAACTGGGGAGCCCAGAACTGGACACAGTACTCCAGATGAGGCCTCACCAGCGCAGTCTAGAGGGGAAGGAGAATCTCCCTTGTCCTGCTGGCCACACTCTTCTTGATGCACCCCAGGATCCCATTGGCCTTCTTGGCAGCCAGGGCACACTGCTGGCTCATGGTTAACCTGTCGTCCACCAGGACACCCAGGTCCCTCTCCGCAGAGCTGCTCTCCAGCAGGTCCACCCCAAGCCTGTACTGGTGCATGAGTTTGTTCCTCCCCAGGTGCAGGACCCTGCACTTGCCCTTGTTGAACCTCATCAATTAGCACAGAAGGTTCAAAATCAATGTAAGGAAAACATGTTCTCTATTTTCCTTTTCTCCACTCATTTAAAAATCTGTTTATGTACTTCTTAATTCTGGAGTCAATATAATAATTTGGTTTATGCAACAGGTTAGGAATATTTTTGTAAAAAATGTGCTTTCTGTCAAGAAAAGTAAAGCAACTTTAGCTCATAAATATATTTACTGTTATGGTTGGGAATGGAATTCTTCAGATGTCTTAATCTTCACAATTAATGTATAATGCAGTCAACACTGCAACAGATGTTACAGATGGAAAAGTTAGATGGCATTGCAAAAACATCTGTGCAAATGATAACCAATTTTAATTCATTTATAAACAACTGATTTTTTTCTATATAAAAAACCAAGCAAGACTCTTATCAAAACGTAATATGTAAATATGCTGTATTTGGCCTTGACATAAAACTATGGAAAAAAGTACCTTTAGAATTTTATCTCTTTACTGTGGGTCTTTCTGGCACAGTCACCCAATTTCCAATTGGTGTAAATCAGTTTTATAAATTTAAATGGATGTACATTAATTAAGAATTTGATTTTGAGAATTTAATCTTGTATGACTAGAATCCTACAAAGTATATTTTCTGATCTGAAAATGTAGTGGTTTTTTCTGACAAGCAATGAAATACTAGCATAACTATTTCTAAATCTTTTATACAGTACTGTTCTTTCTAATAGTTTGCAATATCATGTTGGAGATCTTCAAGGTGAGAGCATCCTAGTCTTGCAAGCAGTCAGGGCACAACCTGATATTTCTGAGTCTTGATTAAGGGACAGCCAGGGACTGTCACTGATATTAATGTAAAAGCATTTAACATATAATTTCTAACAGCACAGTATGTTCATGAAACTCATGAAATGTCACAACAAGGTTATAATAGGAAGGGGAATAAAATCTTAACCCTGAATGAAGAAAGTGAATAAAAGTAAGCAAGAATAAAATACTGTACAGATGAAAAAGAAGGAGCACATTATGCTACAGAGAATGGTCTACACTTTAGGCAGTAATTATTTGTATTAAAAAGCCTTAAGCACTCACCAACACATGTAGGGAGTGAATCATTCCACTGTGCCAAGGCATTTGGTACTGTATCACATCTAATTGCTGTTGACCCATGGAGGATATAGCCTGGATTGCACTCAAAAAGAACCAGTGACCCAACTGCAAATTCATTTCCAATTCTTTTTCCAAATCTCGGTTCAGGCACAGAGCTGCACTGTGTTGCACTTGTTCTTGGAACCGCTGCAAACATACAAACAATTGTGAATTCTTAATTTTAGATTTGGTGAAGGAATACAGATTTTAAACCACAAGTATTCAAAATGACTGGAAGTAACATTCAGTTATTTGTCAGTGAGGAACATTTTCATAATCCCCAAAGGAATCTTCATAATAAGTATTGCATAATTTTGATGTATGAGTTACTATTTAGAAGAGCACAGCATTGATATCCTTGTCAAGATTTAAAGCAATGTATAAAATCCACATCAAAACCTTTCTAAAATGGCATTGGAAAGAAATACTGCAATGAATTACCCAGCTAATACATGATTTCAGAATAACATTTCTGTGTCAGATTGATATTTACATTTATTCTTGAGGATTTCTAAATATGTATTCTGACTGCTAGATCAGGGTTTAAATTTAATGAAAGAATGAATTGCAGTAACAAGTATTGATGTATAATGATTTCTACATTTGACCCATAAAAAGGCAAATAATATAAACCAAGATAAGTATCTTAATAACAGCAAGATCACTGATTCATCCACAGGTAATAACACAGTGATTCATACTTAAATTGAGAGATAAACCAGTCTGAGCAGTCAGATGGATCAAATATTAGTCAGCCAGATTAGCAAACAGAAACAGCTGCTTTGTATAAACCGTTGTCTTAAATTTGGAATGTCTCTTATGCTTCTTCAATATTTGATTTAAGCTTCAAAGTACAAATAAAAGAATGGTCCTAAACTTTTTCCAAAACATGCAGAAATAGTTAAATTTGTTATATTTTTAACAGGCTACAACTTTTCTCTACTTTCTCATCCTGTTCCTCTCTGATGCTTTACACTTTGTGATTAAAGGAACAAATGTACACATTTTTCCAGATTCTCTCACCTTGATAAACAAAATGAAATCCTTTAGCTGTTATTGGTCCAACTGAAGTAAATCTAACAGTGATCTGGTTACCTGAGCTCAATGGAAGGGATTCACCTACTCAAACAAAGCAAATACAAAGCTATCATAACCATTTTTTACTAAAGAAGCATTCCAAACATCTGTCAACATCTTTGCACCTAGATATAACCTTCCCAAAACCCCGTTTTGCTTCAGTAAACTTTTTAAGATAGATGCGATTTCAATACTTTATATTGGCAGTATTCTGATTTCCTAGAAAAACGGGGACTAAAACTCATTTCAGTCATTAGAAATTCTTAGTGTTTTTTTCCTTTACCAAAAAAAAAAACCACAAACAACAAATCCTGTGTCTCTTTTAACTGAGTCAATGTGCCCATAATCCATACAACTTGATTTTGCTATAAATATACTCTGCTTTCCCTTTTAAATACTTAACACCCATTTCAAATTGCTTACTAGATAAAAGTCATAAAGGCACAGAGTAAGAAGCCCAAAACACTCACTATAATAGCTAAATATCAGAAGAAAAAAAAAAAACTAAAAAAGAAAAAATATTCCATTTTACTTCCTTTTATTCATTAATGATTTGATATATTTGCCTGAATACTTTGCCTAAGAAAATGACAATAACCTTTTTCTTCTTCTTCTTCTGCCTACCCTGTCTTTCTAAGTTCATAAAAAATAACAGTTTAATGACAGTTTTATTAAAGGATACCTGAATGAGATCCTGATAGAGAGGATAACAAAGATGACTGCAGAGTTGGGCCATCATATACTTCAACAACATCATGGAGTGAAGTCTGGAAAAATACAAACTGGCCAAAAACCACTGACCATAAAGGAAAGAGAAAAAGCAAAGGCACCAATGGTCAAAAAAAAGGATAACAGAATAAGAATCGAAAAACAAAAAAAGAAGAGAATTGTATGTTCATTAATTTATTTAAAAAAAAAGAGGCAGTGAAGGTGCACAAACCATCCATACACTTGTTAAAATCCTCCAGCAATAAGGGAAAAAAAAACATTTTTCTGCTGTTGAATATACTTTCAAATTCTCTGCTCTTCGCCACCCAACAAACATCTGAATTTTCAGTGCAGTATCCTCATTTGTAATTCTAGGCATATTGCTTTATACTGTGTTTTATTAATTAGTTTTGTTGATAAGCTTCTGTCAGTTTTACTTACATTAGAATGTTTCATTTTTCTTAAGAACTTTAACATTCAATGCATCTGTACCTTTATGAAATAAATGAGCAACTGATTCAAAGCAACAAACACTTTTCAGAATAGATATACTGAAGTGTAAATATATATTTTTTTAAAGCATGCTAGTAGAACAACTCAATTTAATAATGTTATTTTTGAACTTAAATTCAAAGGTCCGTGCAGCACATTCTCATCACAGGTGTTTGCACTTTCAACATAAGTAAACAGTGAAAAGAAAAAAAAAAAATTTAATTCTGGCCCTAGTACCTACAAAACATTTACATCCTAATTTTATCACCATTACTAGCAATAGAGGGGAAAATGACTTAAGGAGTATAAAGGTAAAAATGTGGAATTAGATATTCATAGGTTCTGAAACACCTATAAAAAGAATTAGTTCTGGTTCATTATTCAGGTTAGAGATTTTGGAATAAATACTCCAGTGTGTTTCTACTAGATTATATCTGTTTGCCATATGTTCTATATCATCTTTATCTGGTATATTTTGTTGTAAAGGACAAAGTTAGGCATCTACAATCCTTCTCATTTATACATCCTTAAAGCTTTAAAAACAATATATTAATAATGTGAAGTCTTCCTTTTTTTTTTGACCGATCTAAAAAAAGGCAGTTCCACCTTGCCAACTCAGAATCTCATCACACCCTCTTTTCAAGAAAAAAGTAAGTCAATCTTTGAAAAGAAAACCTCTTTTTAAAGAGAAAGGCTGGATTTCATATTTATAAAATACTCAAACAGAAGTAATGTTAAAACTGTCTGCAAAACACTTCTGCAAATTTTTGTCCATTTTTAGGAAGAACCGTGAGATGCCAAACTACCTCCGTCATTTTTCCTCCAATCTCCAAAAAATTAAACACTGATATTTTTACTAGCTCTATTTGTCTTTAATATAGTATTTAGCTACATTCAAGTCTTCTCTTTGGTGTTATTAAAGTTAACTAACAAACTTAGTCCAGCTAATTGTTTCTGTCACTTTTGTACTTTTATTGAATCTTATTTTCATACTCAGTGAATTTCATTTTGCCTTTTAGCCAAGTGAAGTTCCTTGTGACTTCCACTGCCATTTCCTATTTTGAATAAAGTTGCAAACTATGTATGGAAAATTCAGGCAAGTGCTGAGGCATAACTTCGCAAGCACACATAACTATTACCAAGAGATACATCATGAGAAAACTGTAAAAATAGAATTGATAAGCTATATTTGTGTTGCAATGTACCTGACCAGCTGAGATTATATCAGAAGAAGTGAAATTCTGATTATCAGAAAGAGAACAGTTCACTGTTCTTGTGTTTTCTGGGTGTCACTGTTGTCTACCCCATTTGGTGTGTATTTATGCTGTTTATTTTCTAGTATTTGAAAAGAAGTTTCTTAAAAAAAACCCAAAACAAACATAATTTGAAGACAATACCAAAAATACCTTCTTCAAAATTAACAAAAAATTGATAAACTCTAAGTGTGAGTATCCAGTATAACCTCACTTGAGAAACTCCTTAAAATAATTACCAAGTCTAAATAAAGATCAAAGCACTTTAACTGAAGAATTTGAGGGGGGAGTGTATTTATTTTAAAATTATGGATGAATAAGTATTCTCCATCGAATGACTCACTGTCAGAAATTGCTCACTGTGCTGGGTTTGGCCAGGACATGGTTAATTTTACAAGAATTAACCGGAAGGGGACACAGCCAGGCCGGCTGACCCAAACTGGCCAAACAAAATGGGTATTCTATACCATGTACCATCATGCTCAGTTCTGAATGGGGGAGCTGGCCGGGGTAGGGGCGGGGAAGTTAATCGCGGCTCAGGAGTGCGCTGGGCATAAGGCAGTGAGAGCTGCTCCACTCATTTCGCTGTTTGTTTTTTGTATTCTTCTAATCAGTATTATTGTTGTTACTGTTTGCTTCGTTTGCTGCTCTGTTAAACTACCCTTATTCTGACCCACGAGTTTTGTCTTTCTCTTTCCATTCTCCTCCTCGCCCCAGCAGGGGTAGAGGCGATACAGCGACCGCATCCTTTGTTGCTGGCCAGGGCCAGAACTGCGACACTATCTCCTGTGAATGATCATGAGAGACTGGAAGTCACCTGTCCAAACTTGACGTCTTCAGAATTGTCTTCAGAAATATACAAAATACATTTCTATGTTGTTTACACTTTTTCATTTGTGTGATTTTTTTTTCTGTCAAAATTCCAGGAAAACTGTAGTATTGCTACTGTCATCAATTTAGGAAATCAAGGGAATCCATTATTTCAGAATATATCAGCACAATCAAGCTCCCTTTTAACCATGCAAGAGGTAGGCAAAATAACTTTCCAAGCTTCTAAATATCTAGATGTTTCTGTGGCCTTCACCACTATAACATCTGGATACTTTTAATGACTTTGGGAAGCATCTAACAACAAATGGAATTGGCACAGAATAGTTGACTGGTTAGAAGTTTCATCAAAGAACTTTCGGTTTCATTTTTGAAGTGAGAAATAAACATGTATGGAGTATACTTCTGTCATTTAATTGACCTGTTTAAAAAATAAGAAGAAGTACTAATATAATCTAAATAGTATTAGATTAATGGACAATATTCTCAGAATAATTCCTGTCACAAAATCAGAGAATAACAGATTATAAGTCTCCAGAGATCATCTAGTCCAGTCCCCTTGCTCAGAGAAGGGTTACTTAGGATAGTTTGCTCATGCCCATGTCAAGTCATGTTTAAAAAAACTCAAAGCATGGATAATCACAACCTCTCTGACCAACCTGTTCCAGCATCCAACCTCCTTTACGATAACAGATTTTCTCTTTTGTTTAAAGGAAATCTCCTGAGTTTCCATTTGTGCCTGTTGCTCCTTATTCTGACACTGGGCACCGCTGAGAAGTCCGACTCTGCCTCCTTTCCTTCCTAGGTATTTATACATATTGATGAGACCTCTCTGCACTTTCTCTTCTGCAGGCTGAACTGTCCCAGCTCCTTCAGCCACTACTTATAGGTGCAGTGCTCCAGTCCCTTAATTATCTTCATTGCCCTTTGCTGAACTCACTGCAGTATGCCCATGCTTCTCTTGTACTGAGGAGACCAGCACTGGATACACCACCCCAAATCCATCCCACCAGTGTTGAATAGAGAAGAACAAGATCCCTCGAGATGCTGGTAATGCTTTGCTGAATGCATCCCAGGAGGCTGGTGGTGCTCTTTGCCACAGAGGCACATTGCTAGCTCATGTTGATTAGGACCCCCAGGACCTTTTCCGCAAATCTGTTCTTAAGCTAGCTGATCCCTAGTCTTTACCAGTGCATAGGGTTATTCCTTAGTTCTTCATGAGCTTCCAGTCCCCCTATTTCTCTGAGTCTTTGAGATCCCTCTGAATGGCAGAAAAACTATATAGTGTATCAGACACTCATCCAGTTTTGTATCATCTGCAAGCTTGCTGAGAGTGAACTCTCTCCCATTATGTAGGTAGTTTATGAAGATGTTAAACTGTACTGGCTGCAGTATCGATCCCTGGGGTACACTATTACTAACTGACTGCCAGCTATCCTTCATGCTGTTCAGACAGTTTTCAATCCACCTCAACATCTCCTTATCCAATTGGTTCTTCATCAATTTGTCAGTGAGGATGTTATGGGACACTGTGTTGAAAGGCTTGCTAAAGGCAAGATAAACAATGTCCAGGTCTCTCCACTCAAGCACCAAGCCAGTCATCTCATTGTAGAAGGCTACCAGCTCTGTCAGGACTGATTTCCCATTTGTAAATCCGTGGTGACTACTTTCCATCATCCTCCTGTCATTAATATGTTCAGAGAAGGTGACCAGGACTAATTTCTCTGTCACTTTCCCAGGTATAGAGGTGAAGTCAACTGGTCTATAGTTCCCTTGATCCTTCTCCTTGCCCTTCTTCAAGGTAGGAGGGACAGTTTTCTTCCTTCAACCCTTGGGAATCTCCCTCAACCTTCATGATCTTTCAAGGTAACTGACATCCCTCAGCAATCATGCATGCATCCCAACAGGTCCCATGGGTTTGTGTATGTCTAGTTTCTTTAAGTGCTCCCTCACTTGCTCCTCATCCAAGATATCCTTGCTCTAATCTTTTTTACTGGTCACAGGGGTCTGAGATTACTCAAGGCTGGTTTACCAGTAAAGAATGAAGCATTGGAGGCATTTAGTAATTCAGTCTTCTCTGCACACTTTTTCACCAGAGACATCACCCCTTTCAAGAATGGACCCACATCTTGCCTACTCTTCCTTTTGTTTCTGATATTTCTGTAGAAGTCTTTCATGTCCCTTTCCTGATTCAACTCTAGATGGGCTTTGGCTTTCCTAATCCACCTTTGCATGCTTGGACAGTGTCCATATTCCTCTTAGGACATCTGACCCTTCTTCAAAATCCTATCAACTTAATTTTTTGTATTAATGTTTTATCAGTAGCTCTTTGTTCATCCATGTGGGCCTCTTGTCACTTTTGCTTGATTTTGTGATCATTGGGGTGGACTTTTCTTCATCTTGGAGAAGGTGATGCCTGAAAATCAATTGGATGTCCTGGACTTCTCATCTCTCCAGAGCCAAGTACCATCAGATTCTTCCAAACAGATCCCTGAAATGCTGTCACTTCTGTCCA